TGATTTCTTTTGATTTTCTTTAACCGATACAATGTAGATAAATAGGAGTTAATGACATATTACATTACACGGTCCGCAGAATATTATTTTACAAAATGTCGCAATTACCTGAGCGCATAATGTACTGTAATGTACGTCGAGTACGTTGCGAGGCATTCGCTCGGTCTCGTGCGACTCGAATCCGTCATGCGAAGACATCCTTTCTCCTATAAGAACGAAGCTATTACATGACGACGAGGTCGAGCTTATTGCGCATGCAGCCGATGCGCATGTATGGTCGTCGACCACCGCGACTTTGCGCTCGCCGAGAGGACACCGTTTTCGAAACTGTCACGGTCTTCGGAATAAGGACGCTCGATATTGCCCTTCTACGGGGGATATGTTTACCCAGACCGACCGAGGCCGCCCCATCTCTCCACACGCGAGATATGTTTTCAAACAGGGACAAAAACGCGCTCGAGAGGAATGTCACTTGTATCGAATCGCACGTATCTCGCGCGTTTCGTTAAAAGATGTTAAAACTTCCGACCGCAATGTCAGCGCAAGTGGTCGGAACGTGTTCCGAAGGCAACCCTGGCAATGTTAGGAATTGTCTGTAATCGTCCGTCCGCGCGCTTTGCCGATCGATAATTACGCGCGATGCAATATCCGATGTCTCGAAGGGGATCGTGCAATCTTTTCGACGGGCTAATAACACGTCCTCTTCCCGCCTTTCGTCTTCGTCGTCCTCTCTGCGCTTACGTCTTTGACGCGCAGTAATGTTTCGAATCTCTCTCTCTCTCTCTCTCTCTCTCTCTCTCTCTCTCGTGATCCGCGTGCGAAAGGGAATTTTCGCGGACGAAAAATGCGCGAAATGTTGATTTTTATATAATTTTTTTCCCTCCCTCGACATACTGATGCATTTCGGGCCTCGCGCGGACCACTCCCGTCTCCAATCGCGCGTCGTCCGCCGGACGTCGCAAAGTGGGACCGTTCGCGCTGAAGGCCGCGCGCTCGCGGTCCCGCCCGGCGTATCATTCTACGTGACTGAAAACGCAAATGGCTTTTTTTCACCGGACAATCGCGCGCCCGGCACACAAAGCCGGGTGTCGCAAGGTGTCCCCGGGGACACGGTCGATTTTTACGCTTACGCTGGTTTTCGCGTGTAATCACGGGCGGACGGGCGGGGAAATCGCTCCGCGGAATGCAACGCGGCTCCGAATTCAGACGCGCTTGCGTAAACGCGCCCCGTAATTTGGTAATCGCGTGTTCCTTTCAGTGTGACCGAGTTTCTGAATATAATATCACGCGCGGAAACTCACTCGACGTGTCTCGACGGTCCACACCTTAATTGCATAACGGATGGAGACCGAAGTTTTGTGTCGGTCCGAGGTTTCGCATCAAACGTCAATCGATATCCGCAATTACACCTAATTAGAAAAAAAAAGATTACACACAGATATTAAATAAATATTCATTTCAATTAAATCAATTTTTAATCAATATCAATTAAATCAATTTTTGGGCGGAAACGTTAATTGCCTATTATAGAGTCGAAATGCTCGATCGACCGTAATCTCGTAGGTATGCGTTTAAGATCGCGTACGCCCAGGTTTGGTTTCCCGCGCATGTCCCGGTTGGTCATTCGGCAGTTAACACGCTATTGTTCCACGGGTGCGTAACGCAACGGAATATCGCGATCTAGCTCTTGCACGTTCGCGCACCATTCACAAAGTTAAGGCGGCGCTACACGAAGGGAATGGAGGTCAAGTACTTGAAAACATACGTGGCCGCGCGGTCGTAACGCCTCGGAATAAGAGAAATTTCCTCGCTCGAGTTTACGAGACGGCGAGGAAACGCGGCTACCTAAGCTGGAATTACGGTCTCGAGGGTAAAGGAAAAAAAAAAAAACAGACGCGAGGTATCGTACAAATTTTCCTTCTGGGGATGTTTCTCAACGGTCAGAGAACGGCTACTCGCGTTTTCTCTCTATTATCTCTTGACGTCGATCTCTCGAACGAATCCTAGAACACGCGAACACGATTATCGAAATTTCGATTTCCAGTTCCGAGGACAGATAAAACAATTTACATTTTTACACGTGCCTTAACCGCAAAACGTGTATCGCATGGAAAGATACGGATTACATTGAAAAATCCAGAAGAGCTGAGTCGAGTTAGAAATAATGACTATATATAACTCTGCATTTGATAAGTCGGGCATTAATATAAAATGAACACTCATCACGAAAGTAGATGAAGAAAAAAATGAGAATATTCCGCGCACGTCCCGTCGCGGAAGACCCTTTGAGACTTGAAGAAATTGTTTTGTATCGCGTCATAAGTTTCGAGAATCGCGATTATTCGCGCACGCTTCCAATTTCGCGTTACGTTGCGCGCGATATATTTTTTTTAATATCGCGCGTTCAGTTCCGTTATTTCTTTCGATGAAAAAAAGAAGCACAACCGTAACCGTGCAAAAATCGTCGGCCCTGCGGGACCGTGAAGTAAATATGTGCGCTCGCGCGCGCGTGAAAAGCAGGAAAAGAAAAGTCGGAACAAACGAGGACGAGGGGAGGTAGAGGGAGGGTGAGAGGCCCCGCGTTTCTTCCGTCAGGCGCGAACGCGACTTCGGCTTGCGCGCGGTTCTGCTAGAAAGCGAGACCGATGTTATACGCGCGCATCGATGCATCGAGCGACCGCCGTCGCCGCCGCCGCCGCCGCCGCCGCCGGCCAGCTTTCTTCCGCTTGCGTGTCGCGTAGGCGGTGATTTTGTAATTTCGTTGTGAGGAACGCTATTATCTTGATGAGACGTGTTAATGGACCCCCGCGGATCTCGCGATATCGAGAGAAAAACGAATAACAGCGCGATCATCGATGACGATCGCGCGGGAAGGATCTAAACATTCTACGAATCTTAAGATCTAAGAACCGGTTACGTATTTTTATATTATTCAACAGCCGATTTTTTTTATACAATGCACGTGAAGAATAATTTTGCTGGAAAGTCTAAAAATTTTTAATACAGATCTGAAAATAATTTTGTTGAATTATCAAAATATAATTTTGTTGGAAACTCGAAAATAATGAGTATTGCTGTAAAACGTTTTTTTTTTTACGTTTTGATAATCTAGCGATCAGTTTCAAATTCGTTTCTTTTTCTGTGAAGTTGTGCAAGAAATCGTTACATTTTATAAATGTGTTAAAGTAAAGAGTCAATTATTAATATGGAATATTTTTATCTAAATATCCACGCTATCTAACGAGAAAGTAAATACAAGTTTAACGTTAGCTTAACGACAGCTAATCATACGAGGGACTTTTCTGGCACAACGTCACGCAAAATTTACGCAACGGCTGACCTCACCGCGAAAATTATATTTGTATTGGCACGTCGATGTTTATTGCTAAACGGTTATAATCGTCCGCAGGTGATATGCGAGTCAATTGAAATTCACGATTTGCCTAATGAGGTGAAGGTCTTTGCAAATTTCACGTTATAAGACTCCTGTTGGTATAAACCAGTCGAGATAAATTTCTCAATTCTTCATAAGTATTTCCTAATTCTTTGTGTACTCAAGAAATACGAGCATATCGAGAGATCTTGCATAATAAAATATCAAAGATTTGACTTAAAAACACCAAGGAATTTTATATCTGACTTAAAAAGGAAAGGGTAAAAGTGATATGATGTAAAATTTAAAACGTAAAACAAAAAAATAATAAAAGGTACTATTTTACGACGTAAAAAAAAAAAGTAGGAAAGATATATTTCTTACGTTTATCTGCCTCATAAAAGTCCTCTCAAGTGGTCTTTATGGCCTTTTGGTCGTTGCCACCGCATGTAATTTCCAAGCTTCTCGACGTGGAATAATTGTTTAAAAATTACGATGCACTCTTACAATGCCTCTTTTATCCCGGAGTCTCCTCGATTCTCGATTTAGCGTTATCTCTTTCCGATTAACCGGTCACCAGGCGCTTACTTTACCGCAAGTAACTGCGGAGCGTTAAGCGCGCGGCGCATAAGTGCATAAATAATAACACGCAACGTACGCGCGCGTCAGCGAAGAACGGACCGAAGGATAAATATTTACGAGAAAGGCGCAAAGTGCTACAACTGGTTTACACCCGACGATTGTTTCGCTCATATATAGACGGGAGGCGTAAAGTTTATCCAGGATACACGCCGCGACGTGTGGCGGCGGAAAGGAAGACGACCGTTTCAAGGAGAAATCACCGCCTAAGGCGTCTTCCTCCAAAACCGGCCGTCCTTGTTCCTTTTTACGTTCAACTTCTGCTATAATCGAATCGATCGTTAGGTCGACGACCTCGGTCGAAGGTCATGATGTAATCACATTCGCGGGATTGCCGCGAAAGATAATCGTCGTTACTCGCCGATTACTCCAGAAAGGTCCTCGGGGTCGCTACGTCTGAAATGCAAGAAGTGTAAAAATGAAGGATCGACGAGAATCGAGAATAGGAATGAACGGAAAAATTCTGTATATATATATTTTTATATCTCCTTCGCGAAATAAGCTTCCGCAGATTTTACGCTCTCGCGCGTCCTTCGGATTTTTCGCATCCATCTCGCGCGAGAGGATATGGAATAAATTTTCTTATCTCGAAACGCGCGAGATATACTTTGCGATTGTTAAGGCTGCCGTTACCTTGCGGTGATATCGCACGATTCGCACGAAATCACGAGTCCAGAAATATCTCGTACAAGAACTTTTTCTTCTTTTCATGCAGTGAATATCAGAATGAATTAATTGTTTACTTTTGACTACAATTGAATCGTGAATTCTGGCAATAAACATCGAGATGAATTAATTTTATACTATTATATATGACTACAATGGAATCTCAGTGAATTCTGAATTCCTTTCTATTACTGGAGTTATTTTAGCATACTCATTTCTCACGATTTTAAATGCGGATTCTCCGTTGAGCGTTAAAAAGGAAACGAAACGCTGCGGTTCTAACTAACGGCAATGACTCATCTCTCACCTTCCTCTGCCTCAGGGGCGGCCGTTGCATGCGGAGTTCTGCTGATAATCCTGGCCGCCGTACTGGCGGTCCTATTCCCGAATCTCATCAACCTGGTCCTAGACAAGGAGCTCGCGCTACAAGAGGGCGGACGCACGTACAAATTTTGGAAGGAGCCGCCGGTCGTGCCGCGTATGCAACTCTACATCTACAACGTGACGAACGCCGACGAGTTTTTGAACAACGGTGAGAAACCGGCGCTGCAGGAGCTGGGTCCGTACGTTTACGAGCAGCACTGGGAGAAGGTGGACATCAAATTCAACGATAATGGAACTGTCACCTACAAAGTCAAGAAGACGTTCATTTTTAATTCGGTAAGCCCTTGAGTAATCGAGTGGCAATGTAATGCTAATTGAAAAACTCTCAATCCGCTCGAAACGTGTGAATTAAAAATATCAAGTCTGATATTTTTTAATTCACATTTCGGCAACTGTATAATGATTTTGACATATTTGATCTTTTAATCACCATATTTAATTTTCGTGTTGAAATTGTAATTTCTCTAAGTTTTATACTTCAACTGTGAATCTAAAATTTAATTATAAGTCTTGCTGCTCTCTACAAAATATGAATATATCCATACGTAATGGCTTAGCTTTCTTTTCACGCGAATATTTTCCAAGGTGATTAAATTGAAACGGATGAGACCGAGACTTTGATTTTTTTATTACGAGAGAAGCGTCCAATTAGCATTCCAGACAACGCGCAGTCTTCATCGCACACCGGATGTGTCACGATCGTCGATTATTCGTTTATCGAGAAACGCGGGAGTACGTCGGCTGCTATATAAGAAAAAAAAAATAAAGCCAGGGAATCCGCGTTGAATGACAATCGAAGGCACGTCACGTCGCCTCCGGGCTGGTTATTTAAATCCCGTCATAGACCACATTCTCCTCCGCGCCGACGACTTGCCGCTGCACTTGCGGCTACTCTTGCTCGCGCATCGAAATCACTGCCGCGACTTTCTATATTCGTCAGAGAAACGTTTCCACGGCGTAGTCGAGTGTACTATCGACTCGGCGACAAGAAAGACAATATGTACACGGACCGTTTTTCTCGCTCCGAGAGAAAATTTATGGAAGAAAATATTTGTTGAATGTTACGCGGAAGTTTTGAATCAGCTCGACGCGCGTAGCGGGAATTCTCATGACGTGGAATTCTCATTCTTTGTCTCGCCGCTCTCCGCTCCTTTCGGCCGTAAATTATTTTATTTGTCGTATTCACAGATTTTCTCCGTTGTTATTCTTATTTTTCATTTAATTATTTCCATTTTACCGCTGTTCGCGCGCAATTTATATATTTTTGTGTCGCATCTTAAGTTTTATAATACACGCTATATTTCTTTTATTAACTTTTTATCGTCTGCCGTGTGTATAATATATATGTTAATTATTATTAGTCATTATTCCTTTTTATAAAACAGACTTTTCATTGTTCATTTATTTATTTACAAGTTCGTTACTCCATTTTACCCAGTTGATTCGGCCAGATTTTCATTTTCTTTCATTTCTCGTCGAAATCTTAGGAATTGTCAGCCGGTTCCGATGACGATCTTGTGGTCGTGCCGAACGTTCCTATGCTCTCGGCTACCAGCCAGTCGAAACACGCCGCCCGTTTCCTGCGACTGGCGATGGCGTCTATCATGGACATCCTGAAAATCAAGCCGTTTGTCGAGGTGTCGGTCGGACAGCTGCTCTGGGGTTACGAGGACCCCTTGCTAAAGCTGGCCAAGGACGTTGTGCCCAAGGAGCAGAAGCTGCCGTACGATCAGTTCGGTCTGCTGTACGGCAAGAACTCGACCGGGGCGGACCTGTACACGATATTCACCGGCGCCAACGACATCACCAAATTCGGATTAATGGACAGGTGGAATGGCAAGAGCGCCCTCGGTTTCTGGACCACGCAGGAATGCGACTCCGTCATGGGCACCGACGGCAGCATATTCCCACCTCACATCACGAAGGAGACCGTGCTCAAGGTCTTCGACAAGGACCTCTGCCGGACGTTGCCGCTGGTTTATCAGGTTTGTGTTTTTGTTGGTCGTCGTTAATTATCCGCCCTGATACGACCAGAGGCGGATGATGGCCTTCCCGGACTCCGACATAAGAATTTTTCAATTTTTGCATATGTACTAAAGCAGGAGAATATCGAAGAAAACGTCTTCGCTTTTGTCTTACGCAGCATTATTATACATTATTTATTTATATAATATATTTATCAATGTTTTGATTAAAATCGAATTTTTTTATACTAAAAAACTGCTGTATGAAACTGCTTTTTTACGTTGCAAACTTTGATCTTTAATGTCTTTAATATCTTTAAAGTTTCAAAATTGTTGCTATTTGAATATATATACCCTTAATTATACAAATAAAAATATATTGAAAGTATCGCGCGTCAAAAAATAATTAATTATTATATATTTCGATATAATTTGGATTAGTAATTTTAGTTTAAATATTTTCAATCTCGATGCGAGAAATATCGAATTCGAATAGCTCGAGTAAAAATAACCAAATAGAAAAATATAGTTAGTATATTTCACGTCGCTTAGAGCGTCCAGTTTTGTTTTTAATCCTGAATTACGCTTGCAGTTGTTTAATATGCCAATTTTACAATTAAAGAGTATTGGAAGTGTCGCGCGTCAAAGAGAATTATTTTCTAGCGCGAGGTGATAGCTGCCGGTGGGATCCCCGGCTACAGATTCTCCCCGCCGACGAACGTCTTCACCTCGGTGGAGAATCTACCGTCGCAGCAATGTTACTGCCCAGCTGGACCACCGTGCGCACCGGAGGGCACGTTCAACGTCTCCATGTGCCAGTACGACTCGCCGGTTCTCCTCACCTTCCCGCACTTCTACCTTGGTGAGTGTCACGTAACGCGCGCGGTCTCTGGCCGCGGCGACAAAAAGCCATGGAATGTTTACAAATCAGTCTTCGTAACGAGGCTCGCGGCTATTTTTAATCGTTGCCAATTATCGTCATTTATCAAAGTGACTTGCGATACACATATATATGTATATTTCGAAGTCGGACGATATAATACGCGTCAAGATGACGCGAAACCGCGGATTGTGTAACACTCGGGCGAGTATCGCGTCTTGTTTTTGCCGTAATTATTATTATTCTGCGGGATTGATGGCCGGCCCTCACGTGGTATACGCGATCACACATCGTCCGATACTCTTGACGTAACTATCGTGTGTCATATGGAATCTCCGCGCGACACTGCGAATCCGATATATCGTTACGCGATCAATCTCGCGTGTATCTAAAAGTGTATCGTCTCTTACGTAAGCGCCAGCGCATAATTCCGCCGCAAATTATTTTCTTGGCAGATTATCGCGATAAATCTTATTTGCGTCGTACATGCAACGCGCCGCGCGCGCACTTCCTCCGCGCGCCGACGTTTCTCATCCGCGTCTCCGCCGACTGCGGCTCCGCTCGTCGCTCGATTTCCTGATCCGCTGTCAGGCGGACCGACCTCTCTCGTCTCCTCTCGCACGCCCACGTGTCTCTCTTTCTTTACGTAGAATAGGTAATCGACCGACTAACCGACCGACCGACCGACTGACAGGCCGGTTAACGAAGATCGTTTACGTGCGTGCTAGTTTCGTAAGCGAGATCTATGTACCTGTCGCGCCGCGCGCTTCCGGCTCCGCGCGACTGTACAGCTCTAGAAGTTGGAGTCGGCCGAGCAGTCTGTTACCACGGGACCTATTTTTTCCTAGGAACAATCTCTTTCACGCATCCGCCGTGATTCTCCCACAGAATTATTATACCAACTGTCTCTCTCTTTCTCTCTCTCTCTCCCCCCCTCTCTCTCTCTCTTTCTCGCGCGCGCGCGCGCATTAATTTTCGCATCGCAAACTTTTACTTTCAACGCTCCGGATTTTAGACGACGCCTCGATTATAGACGCCTAGTTTCACCATCATGCGAAACCGTTCTCTCGTAAAATAAAACTTGCGCGAGATACTCGATTTCGTTCGTGATACAAAAGATGCTTCAGATTAAGCGAAAGATTTCCGAGTTCCTAGACAAATTTGACATGAAATATTTTTTGAGCGGCCTCTGTATCATGAATTTCCAAAGTCTTCTTCGACGATCGAATATTATTTCACGTCGACGCTTATATAAACGTCTGCTTTTAAAAGCCATTTAATTAAAAATGCGAAAATAACAACAAGAATTAACAATAAGTCTCCCAGTCTTGAATGAAAAAAATAAAATGGCAAAAAATGGATATCTGTGAATTCCAATTCGTCAGCATCATTGTGTTTATGCGTTTTAAAATACATTGAGAGTCCCAAGTACGGCTTTTAAAACCGCTCGACCGACGATTAAGCGCCACTTAACTGCGGGCGCTTTGTGTCCGTTTTGTACGTAACCGCATACAGTGACTTTTGACACTGCGAAGCTTGTTATTATTATGTAAAGGCACGAGCGCAGCTCGGGCTAATGGTTAAACTGGCATCTCTGTTAATCCACGTCGAACAAAGGCAAACTATTGTTCACGAACTTGCGTAACAATTAAACGTCACGGATTTTAAAAAAAGTTATGTAATTACTCATTAAAAATATTTTAATATTAATTAAATTCGAGAAAGAGAGAGAGAGAAATAATGCAGTTACAATAGCTTCTAACGAGTGATTCAGATTCTCAATTGTGTTGGTTATTTACCGGATCACATTTTTCAGCCGATCCGGCCTTACGAGAGGCCGTGACGGGCATATCGCCGCCGGATCCCGAGAAGCATCAGCTTTACATCGACGTGCAGCCGATTATGGGGACGGCAATGAAGGCGCGGGCGAGGGTGCAGATAAATCTCGCGGTCAGCCAGGTGCGAGACATCAAGCAGGTCGCTTCGTTCCCCGACATCGTTTTCCCCATTATGTGGTTTGAGGATGTAAGTATATGATACTTTTTAATTGGTCCAGCGCTATTGTCTATCCATGTTGATCTCGTGTGATAGCAATTATGTGTATAATAACATTAATAACGTAATATAATATTACTGTTCATACATCGTACTGTAACGTCTATTAATTTATCGCATTATGTGGTATGTTCGTAATGCATAATAATAATAATAATTGATACATCCTTGACGCGTTGCATTTCTCATGGCGATTGTTCGAATTTTCGATCGCTTATATCTATCGTTGTTCGCGTACGACGTAAAAACGGATTAAATGAGTATCGAGTGCGGTCCATTTTCCTGCAGAACTTTTAATTCGCGCTGAATAGTTACGTATGAATCATTGCGTGTTTTGTATAAATTATTATGCAGTCGATGTAGTTAAACGCGCGTAGCAACTATTGCTGCACGTGTGGATTAAATTGCAGATTCCAATAGAATGCCAAGCAAAAAGTAGGGAACGACCGCTTTTTCATGGCTGATAATCACGTTGTTCTACAAAAAAAGTCCATCTGCTAAGAACATCGCTTGTTAAGCTCGCTAACGTAGCATAAATTTTGTTAATTATGCTAATCAGAGCCTCGACGTAACGAAAAAGATGTTGCGAGGCACACATGTGTCCCCTCGGTCGTAAAATAAAGATGACTAAATAAAACAAGGAAATATATTAAAAATGGAAATATATTTAAGAAATATATCGGAAGATTCTCGATATGATAGTGCGCGAAATATAACTTGTCAGTCAAAAGGATGGAGACAAGAGGAAGAAAAAAGGAAGATGAAAAATGGCAAGAAGTGAACGTTCAAAATGAAAATGAAACGACACTCGGGATTGACGTATAATAACGCGCTTCAGCGCGGAGAAATGCAGATCTCGGGATGAACAAGATTTACGAGGGACATTAATTATTTTTCATTAGCGAACGGATGAGAGTCGTGCTTCGTCGCCTTCCAAATCTTGAATAATTTAGCGAGCCACTTCGATCGAATTAGCGTGACGCGACACGGGGTATCTCTTTATGCGAACGGAATCGAATTAACTCCCCGTTCAAGGGCGCCTGATGCGCCCGATTCACCTTCCCGCGTTGGCCTACGTTGGCTGACGACGGGACGCCGCGCGTCGCTTACAAATCGTCGCCATCATCCTCGAGCCGATCTCGCGCAGGTGAAATTTTCATCTCTGCCACCGCCCCGGCCTCGACAATGGCGGGAACGTGCCTGGCCGTCCGGCCATTTCGCACGGCTGGCCGCACGGCAACTACGCGCGTTTAAAAACCGCGCACGTAGAGAAGTCGTATTGTCGCGCGCGCTTTTCGCCCATGATTCATATTAATGGAACTCGTGTCCCGACGTCGCTAATAAAGAGAGTTCGGCGCCGCGCCGCGCCGTGTCCTTTGACGGAAAAGGAAGAAAAAAAAGAAGTGGGAACAAACACTCTCCGGAACTCCGAGAATTTCCTTTGTATTCGAGACGGCACGTATATATACGTTCGCGAGAGTGCGAGAAACTTTGATTTTGTCACCTCGAGAAACGTTCTCGCTCGAAGCAAACGAAGATCGCTCTTCTTCGTATTCGAGGCTGCATCTTCGCCGAGGCTACACCTTGATTCAAACGAAAAAAATCCGGCCGAGCAAGATACCTTCTAAATTCTTACGGGGGCAATAAAGGGACTTGAAAATGTTTTGATCTACGTATAATGCTTGCAATTTATATTTCTATTTTGTTTGTTATTATATAATATTTAATGATATTTTTAGTTTATTTATAAATTTTTAATTTATTTATTTAAATCATTGCTTAAGAAAAATATCTGGATGGAATTAGCACAAAATTACATCCTGCAGTCTATATTAATTACGCGCATTAATATATTACCATGTACATATTATATAAGTAGAGTGAGGTCTGGGATCATATTTTAACCTTAGTGGTCAAGACTATAAATACAAGATTAATAATTACACATTTCTACATATGTGTGTAAATTCTTCTATTTATTCGTGCTTAACTACTATTAATAATAAAACGCCAAGCAAAGATTTAATAACGATAACTTGGACGGAATGAAACTAAAAAAAATCGATAAAAAAAGCTTTTAAAATGTAGATAAAAGGGAGATTTATGCGCGCGTTATGGAGATTTATTATAAAGTAGGACTTACAAACACTGAAATTACTAAGTGTCTTATATTGAAACGCAGAGAGAGAAAGAGAGAGACACGCACACTTATGTAAAAAAAAAAAGATTTTTTATGGAAACGTTTAATAAACGACGACAAGCGGAGGAATTTCTATCTCTCTCTACAAATTCTCGTTCCGATATATACCGATGACACACGTCTTCCTTTTATTGCAGTGCGTCGACGAGCTGCCACCGGAGATGCGCTCCCTGCTGAAGCTGGCGGTGGAGCTGCCGCCGGTGGCCCACGCCGCGGTGTCCGGCGCCCTCGCCGCGATCGGCGCGATCATCCTGCTCGGCGCGCTCATGTGCCTGGCGCGCGCCGCCAAGCGCCAGGAGAAGCTGCACCTGAGCAACCCGCTGCCGGCGAACGCGACGAGCACCAAGCACGGCCAGCTGAACCCGGCCTTCCAGAAGTAGAATTCCATCGACCGAGTGAGGGGAATCGAGTGCGCGAGTGCTCGGGAGTTTCGCCGCGCGCGCGAGTGTGTACCCTCTCGCGAGGACTTGTACGATAATCTTACTTATCTTATAGGCGACGGGCATGTGCTTTATATCTCGATTAGGATTTCCACGTACGACTCTCGCGAGTCTCGCGAGAGAGAAAGAGGGAGCGAGGAAGGTGAAAGAGGAGAGGGTGAGGCTCGTTCGGCGCGACACGAATTTTGTCGGGTCGCGCGGACAGCCGTTACGTTTTAGATTTATTTATATTACGTGTGTGTTTCTTCTCGGAATAGTATATTTGTCAGACGGTGTCAAGTCGAGCGAGTACAAATTAATCGCGGGTAACGATCGGCTACGAGAGATCTGTGGAGCAGATGTTCGACGTTGTTCTTTTATTGCTCTCTCGTAAGAGACGTAATCGCGAGACGAATCGACGGATCTCTTTTCTCCGTGAAGGAACGAGCTAACATCGGAAAATTTGTTGAGACAATTCTGCTTCTGGAAATATCTAGACTAGAATTTAAAAGTTGCTCGAAAAAAAAAAATCGCGGACGATCCGCGCTTCGTCGCGCGTTTTTCTTATCTCCATTGTTGATAACTTCTCTACCGAGAAATTGATCGAAAAATAGAGAGGGAGATGTCTTATTGTCAATATTTAGATTTATTTTATTTTATCTTGATATTATTGTTGTGGAATGGGCAACACACCTGTCGGCGAATTTTCCTACAATGTTTTTCTACGATACTATACGTAATAAAATAGGAAGTTAGAGAGTCGAGAGTCATACCGTTCCGAAGAACTTGACCGGCGGTAAAAATTTACGATGACGCAACGCCGTTCTGTTTGTTAGAATTATTAATATTAATAACGAGCTGCCTCTAGCTCCACACGATCGAATCCGATCCCCGTTCGGATCGCCGTTTAATCGCCCGAAGCGATTATCGCCGCGAGTACTGACGTAAGGATCAAAGATGACAATTGATATTCCGTCCATGGCGTTGTCCCGAGGCCGAGTCTTCGTTTACGACTTCAATTTGGATTGCACGACAGCGTGTTCGCGACGAGTAGAGTTTTGTATAATCGAGACGCAGCAACAGCGGAACGAACAGAAATCTCTTTTTTTCTGTACATATTAGATTCCGGGCCCCGTCGTTGTCGTCTACCGATTGTAATTACCAAGAGTGTACTATTTCTCGTTATATTCGTTTGTACATGTATTATTATTATTATTATTATTATAAATAATATTATTAGACCGTAGATTATAATTAGATCTAATAAATAAATTACTTTTGTATGATAAAATCAAAAGATACCAAACGAAATTGCGCGCGCGAGCGTGAGATATCTGGTTATTGGTGTTAGCAGTAAACGTTATATAGTTTGTGTAACTATATTTTTTTTCTCGACTTTACTAACTCTCGAAAATCACGCATTATGTAAACTCTACAAGAAAGATAGAGTCACAATTTATTAGCTTGCTGCAACAGATTTATCTATTTTTCAAGTTTAATTTGTATTAAGTTATAAAATTATAAAATTTATAAAGCTCTTTGAAAAGAGGAAGGTTTCTTCTTGGAGTCTCGTGGCGATAATTTCGCTTCGATTTTCGCTGAAGTTCTTCTCGCATTATTACTTACTCCGCGAGATATAAATCTTTTGCATCAATCTGATATTTTGATTTGAATTCCAGATATGTAGGAAAAAGAGAGAAAGGATTTCTTCAACTCTCGCTCTTATTGCTCACGCCTTGTTCTTATGTATCTCTTCTCTTTGTCCTGGGAACTTTACCAAGCGTTTTACGAATTCTCTTTCGCCTTCTCGTTCCTCTTGCGAACGAGGAGGAACGGGGAGGATTTAGAGACTCATCCGAGAGATGAATGCAGCAGGAATGAGGAAAAATATACGAATAGAATTAATTTTGTCGATAGAAGTCGATTTTGGTGTTTCACGATCACTCCACTCCCATCACGTCACTCGCGCGATATCGCGTTGCGATACAGATGTTATTACGCGCGCAATATTATTACGCGTTTATCGCCCACACGTACGGCGATGGCAGATGCCGTGTGTGTATATATGTGCGCGACTTTCGCACAGATACAAAAACGAGTTTTTCTGAAGCGAATTCAGCATTCGCTTCGTTTCTCGGAACGTATATCGTCACGTGTTGCTGAGGTTATCAAAATGTTAATGCGCACGATGTAGACAAATTAGCGATAAATCAAGCGCAACGAACGATTTCCACGAGTTACGATCGGCCGTATCCGCGGAATTTCTCGGCGGTTAAGGACAAAAGATCTGCGAAGGTAAGTAGGAGGTCGATCGCCATTGGGATAGCTGTATAGAGGCCAAAAATAAAGATCTACCGTATATACTGTATTAAAATAAAACTTTTTTTTCAACCAGTGTAGGAAAATAAAAAATAACGGCGCGCGCCGTACGATTTCTTAACACATATGTATGTACAATATATCTAACCGATATACCTATACCGATTCTGATGGAGAACTCGCGTCTCCTCGATCTCTCCGCTTTCGAACTTAAAGTTAGAGAAATGATTAGGAAGGTACGCGGCGAGTCACACCGCGCGAGAGTATCGAGAGGCGGACCGCCACAGAGATGAGATAAAAAGAACTTACACTCTACGTTAAAGCAGCCTATGTATATCGAATCTCGCCGTCGAGACAACGAGCTCGTTTAATTGAACGGTCGTATGTAATACGTACTGCCGTCGCGTGTGTACCGCTTAATTAAGTACAGGTCGTTCATTACGCTGCTCCGGCGTAACGCACCGTCGCGGTCGGCGACACCGCCGCGGGGTAATAACACGACGAGAGAGATGCGAATGCCGCAACCGTCGACGGATCGCAACCGCGGCATAATTACACCGATTGCACGTTATTTCCGATGCACTTAAAGTTTCAATCACAGCTTTGGCCGTGTTGCGGGCGTGTCCCTCAGCCGTCTCTTTTCTCACGGTGCAACAACGGTGCGTCAACTTGTCATGTAGGAATTATATACTGGTCCACCGGCATTCTCGGTAGACCTTGCGCTCGCCCGGATCGATTATCCGCATTCGCGATCTTAAATAATTTCATAGTGGAGCAAATAAAAAGGGCGAGCATTTAAAAACTTGATAATTATTTCTGATTCGTTTTTAAGAAAGTTCTTTAACTTCACGAACCGATATCAACATGGAAATGTTATTATTCGCCAAAATACATTATTCATTATTAGGTATATTAATCAAAAGCAAAAGCATCATCCCTATTTATTCGTAAGATCCGTAATAAGTCGCTTGGTGAACGCCTCATTAAACCGCAAAGCGTTGCTAGCAAAATATCTCACACGGACGAGCATTTTCATGATTTTTATCTTCGAGAGAGTTATTAATTCTTATCACGTTGAAATTGTTCCTCACAATGACGGACTTCCTCCACGTGCATCGAAATGCTTAACCTAGTTCGCCAGTAACGTACGTTATTTTAATTGCACAACAATTATATTATTAACGTTACCGAGCTCTACTTGATGCCGGATTCGTTCTCCCGTGCAACTTCACGAGAAACTAACGATCCACATCTTTCATCTCGAGCCGAACGTCGACTCAAGAGCGCGAAAAAATCTCCAAGAGACGCGTTAAAAAAATTCGAACCGTCTAAAAAATTAGACCTTCTAATTATCTCCCAGACATCCCAATTCTTGTTTATTTTTCCCGAACGGACCGCGACGTGGTCTCCACTCGCGACGTTTCTCCTTTCAGGGCAAGCGCGACCACATAAGCGAACTAAGCGGTCGCCACATGCAATTTTAAGCTTTTTTTTGCGCGTAAAGATGTTTTCTGTTAAAACTTTGCTTTTTTCTCGCGTAGAATGTTTAAAATATTTAAAATAATAACTGTGTAATTATTCTGAAGGGACGCACATTATTTATTCGCCTAGGGCAACTTTCCCTGCTCCTTTCTGAGCGGTTTCCCTTTTGATCACCTCGAGAATGTTGCTCTGAATGAACGAGGGCTTGCGGACATCCACGACCTGTTCCACGCGATATTTCCAGAGGCAGGCGATCGCGGCGCTCAAGGAGAGTATCATCGTTATTAGAGTGCCCCATTGCAAGGCCATTTCCACGTTGGCCGCTGTGAAATGCGCGCTCTGGAGGACGTCCAGTATCTGCTCCGGGAGCTCGTCCACCCCGTCCTCGAACCAGATGAGCGGAAGGATTATGCCGTCCTTCAACTTCCCAAGGAACGGCACGCCGACCGCCTTTCGCACCTCCAGGTTCACCTGTATTCTCGACCAGCCGGCCATAGGAACCGCTATGCGCTAGAAATAGAAATTTAATTTGACTTTTACTCGATTGCGGTCAGTAAAAGTAGCAAAAGGTGGAGATGACATTGTTTTCCAATTTTTTAATACGAATTATTGTACCATTCAAATTAATTCGTGAAAAATGGAAACCAATCGTAAGATTCTAATTATAATGGCTAACGTTTAGATGCAATAATCAATATAACGTAATAAATATATTTAATTATGATAATAATAGTTAAAGTTTGGTGTCGACATACCGGATGTATGTCCATGTAACTCTCATGGTCTTTCTGCCGAGGATTCAAGCCATCTACTTGCTCCAGCACGGATTTGTCGGCACCGTAAAAATGTGGAAACGACGAAAGCAAAGGTGAGCCGTAAGAGCACGCGGACATGTTGAAGAGTCCCGAGGGCGGGCAGACTCTTTTGCCATGTACTTTCGAGCAGAAGCACTCGTTTTGCTTGTCCGAAAAGTTATACACATCGGGGGTGAATTTGTACCTGAGACGAGAAAGGGAAAATCATATTCGTGTTGTGATCTTCAATCAATATATTCACTATTATCTTCTAGCAGAAAAATATAATTCCTGCGACCAAAATTTCTTTGTAATTATTATTATCATTTTATCAAAGAGATTCATTTGTAACGCAAGAAAAACAAACGATTCGAATTATGAGAAACTGGATTATTATTTAATAATAGCGCGGAATTAATTTGAATAATTTTTTAATATATATAATACTAAATCTTTTTAAATGTTAGTATAAAAACTATCCAAAGACTGATTGAAAAATATTCAGAAATAGTTTTATCCCCTTTTAACGATCCCTATTGAAATTCGTGGCACATCAATACGCAAACTTTCACTTCTCTATTTACCTTAAGGAAGGTATGTCGAAGGTGGTCACTTCTTCACTAAAACGGAAAGGTATCTTCCTGCAAATATCCTTGGAATACACCCAGAGAGCCTCGCTTGGGTCCTCTATCAAATGGGGTGGGAACATGCTGCCGTCGCTACCCTCGATTTTATCGCATCGCTCGTCATCCCAAACGTGTCGGGTGTTCATCCCGTTCAACCGGTCGATCACGCCGATATTTTCAATGCCTCGCGATCCCGTGTGTACCGTAAAGCGATCCTTATCGATACCTTTTTTCTATAATAAAAAAAATGCACATTTCACGTTAATCGCGACTGAAAAACCGTGTCGTTTCACTGCAGTGCTCGAAAGACATAATCTTACTTTGACGCCACGATACAATTATCTTCCCACCATTTCGTAATATTTTTTTTTTTTGTAAAAATGCGAAATTTATATAAAATAAATATTTTAAGCAAAAGTATAAACTTTTCCGTAAGATAAAAAACTCTCGGCGATTAAATGTAATCACGTACTATGGCCAGCATGCCAAACTTCTCGAAGGGTATGTCCCGCTCGAGCATCATCAGCGGCTTGCTTAGGTGAAAGAGATGATTGTCGTATCCCCAGAGGAAACCGTTGGCAGTCTCGTTAATGAACGATTTCTCCTGCAGGGTCGACAGTACCGTGTTAGTGATGAATCGCATCGCGAAGTTCAGGTCCCGCACGTACGCGGTGGCGAACATTAACGGCACATTCGGCACCACGACGGTGTCGTTGCCGGGTCGGCCGCCGATCCACTCGAAGGACCTCTTGATCTGGTAGGTGACCGTGCCGTTGTCGTGCAACGCGACGTTCGTGCGCGTCAACGTCTCGCGGTACTCGTAGGGACCGAGCTCCTGGACGCGCAGCTTGTTCGCCTCGCCCGCCTCGAACTCGTCCACGTTCGTGTAATTGAAGATGTAAGCCCTGTGCTTCAGCGTGAAGGGCGGGCGCTGCCACCAGTCGAAGGCGCGGGTGCCGTTGCGCAGCGGCAGCTGCGACAGTAGGACGTCGTTGAACGCGTTCGTGTACCAGAACGCGTAGAAACCGGCGGAGCTGATCAGGAAGATGCCGCAGTAGAACCAGGCGAGCCAGAGGCGTAGACGATGGCTACGCCGGGCGCACCGCCCGATCGCCTTCTTCTCCATGTCCAGGGCGGTGTCGGCCACCGAGATCGTCATGCCGATTGCCAGTGTAACCACCGATCGAAAGAAACCCCTTTGACGCTAATTGCCACGATCGTGATCCTCGTCGAGAGGATCGAATGGCTCGATTTTATTTCGGAAATCGATCGAAATTAAGTCTCTCGGTTGTTCCCCGAAGCCAAAGTCATCAACTGGAGCGCTCTCCGTCGAAGACCTACATCCGTAACGAGCGATGGACAAACGATTGGAATCGCTGACGCGTTTGAACGGAAATCTCGATCGGACGCAAACAGATAAGCCGACGGCGGAGCGTCGTCACCGTCGACGTACAACGTTTTCGACGAACTGGCCGGTTAGACCACGCCGATCGTGTACAAAACCTCCCCGCCTTTTTTTAAATCCATTGATAACCTTGCCACGAGGCGATGACCTTAGATGGCTAACACCTCCGATATACAGTTCGGTGTGGCGGGTTCAGAGATGATTAAGAGCACGCGCTCTTAGGTTCTTGCTATCTCCATTATCGTTCTGTTTCAGATATTTATAAATTTCAAATAATTTTCGAGAAAGCGCATTTATATTTAAAAAATGCTTCGCTCCCTCTCCGAAAGGATCGTTTCTTTCAGGCGTATCTCGTATCACCTAAATCGTTCTTATCAAAGAACGCGAGTTTATTTTTTATTTTGGGTCAATTCCTGAACAGCACAACATTTCGAAAGAGCTTGGAGAGCTTTCGAAGGGGAGAAGAGGACGGAAAATTAAAGAGTCAGAAGATTGACCATTCAAGGTCGCCACATTAATCGTCACTGACTCGGATATCGCGGGTGGTTTAACTCTCCACCCGCAGCATCCGCAGCAGCGCGCGCGAGAGACAGAGACGGATAAGGAAAGAGAAAAAGAGAGAGGGGAGGTAGATTTATTTTCACACCCGCACCCGCGGGTGTGGACACAACGCGTGTCATCCGATTCATTATCGCGCGAGTAGAATTGGAGGCTGCGCCGAGGCTGGGGGATCGTACGACACATTTTATCGCAGCCAGACGAGAAAAAACATGATTCCAGATATCTTCCCGCCCAGAAAAGCCGAGGAGTGGCTCAAGGCTCACGGTTGCGCGTACACAAGGGGAGCAAAATGGATGAAAAATCCTGTGACACAACAACAAACGGTGATCTTTCACTCGATCTGGTATTTTATATTTTATTTTAAAACTTATCAAGAGAAGGGGGCAATGCGGAGATTTTCCTCTTATTTGCAGTAATGACCTTCCGTTCTCGGCAACATGAATTTTCTAGTAATAATAATTAGATACACATTAGTTAGTTATAAATAGAATAAATTATATAATAATAAATAAATAAAAAACGGTTGTATAATTAGCATAATTCGCATCATGATATAGCTGTATAAGCAATTTATGTAAGTCTATGTTGTGTATATATATATATAGTGATTTGCATTTTAATAACAGTCGTAATAAAAAGTGTGAGAAATGTTGGTCTTTTTATGTAAATAGGATTGATTTGTTTGTCGGTTTTGTAAAATCATGCGCCAGATGCGTGAAACAGTAATGTCGAGATTAAGGGTGAGATTTTATGGAGATCGAAGATGTCACCGAGTCAAGCACGACATGTAGTATCAGCGAAAATCTCGGGAAGATATCTGCAATTATAATACATACGACAATTTTCTTGTAAGAAAAATTTAAGCGAGAACCAGCAAGTATAAAATAAAGCCTGTCATAATATAGATAATAGGACTTACATAAGTACAGTATACAGATCTCACGATTTCGCATGTTAAGATGATTAATGATTTCTAAGAAATGTATCTTTTTCAAATGTTTACAACTTGTTTGATCAAGCCGTCACGAATGCGGCGGCGCCTCGACTAATAAATCAAAACATCAATAAGATAAATTAAATAAAATAACAAAAAAGTGTTATAAACAAATTAGTATTACACATATTAAAGATAATCAAAAATTTAACTCCAAAAACATTCTCCTATTTAAAACATTTAGACGATTATAGATTTTCAAAAATTATTTTCAATTTTGTCTTATAATTAGTCTTTACATATGTATAATATTTAATTAGAAAATGTTTATTATATCGGCCTGTAAATATTTCAATGTCGCGAATATTATTAGATTTCATACTATTCCAATTTATTCCATTAAATTATTCCAATTTGTTTTTATAAACAATATTCGCACGAAAAGGGTGTAAGTAAATAATAATTCTATAAAATAATATTTCGAGATCAAATAAAAGATACAATCGTCTTCTTTTAAATGCTTTTGTTTTTCAAATCATGGATATTCACCCCCCGATCGCGCATAAAAAGATACGATCACCTCCACCTTCTTCATACTCTCCCTCCTAAAGTTTGCTCTGCCAAGCAGTAACGTCGTGCGATTTTGTGTACGTACGTACATGTATGTTTTTTTTTCCGACGCGTGCTAATTGCCGACGCGCGTAATCAAACGCGACATCAAACGCGTCTATTCGCATTTTCTATCGTGAAGTATATGTAGTGTTATGACTGGCGGATGGCCTCTTCACCCGCGTCATCCCCCTGCGCCGCGTAATTCCCTCCTACGTTGTCCTTAACGGCGCGTCGTACGATGATAAGCCGGCCGCTCTTATCTGGTCGCGTGCACGCGATTACGCAAGGGGATGGCGAGATCAGCTCGGCCGGATCCTACCGTGGCCGCGATCCGGCGAAACGTGCGCCCTGTGCCGTGATCCGTATGTACACATACATAACAAAATGTGAAAAAAAAAGATCATTAATCGATAAGGCTAGACGGTGACCGCGACGGCCGGCGGCTTTTCAGATTCGATACTTTGTCGAGAATCAAATCGAATGTCGTAACGCCGGGCCGGTCGTGATGATAAGCTCGCAGCGACGATTTATAATAATAAATCGAGGATTTACGAGGGGCCGGATAGATCCGCGATTTTTAACGATATACGCGCGCAGGCGCTTTCCGTGAACTCGTCAAAATATCCCCGCCGATATCTTCGCCCGGGGAAAGTCAGGGAAGACGTGCACAAAATCAACGAAGGAATTTGCGAGACGCTCTGGCTTCCCGCGACTCCTTTCCGCAAACTCGTCGGAATCTCACCGCCTTATTTTTCGCCCGAGACGCGGAACGCCGAAGATACATCGCTAGTGACATCGACCATGCACTCTTGCAACATTTCCTGTATTCTGCCTAGTCGTATCTTCCTTTATCTAGGAAAAAAGATAACCGATAGCTCGGGAAAAGACGCCTGAATAACACAAATCGTATTCTTACCGCGAATAAAATATTGTTAACGTGTCTCGTTGGATTTTTTTGAATAATATAAATTATTGCAGAGACATCGCGATAAAAATTAAATGAAGTTTCAAAGCTCGAAGTTTTCGATGAGCTCAAAGGTGGATCGTCTGGTCGATACGGTCACCGTTATGGCGGCAGAAACGTTGTTTTTTTTTTATATAATAAAATACTTATAAATTACTGACTTTGTTTCTCTTCATCTCGACTTAAAAAAAAAATTATCCGCGTAATTTACGATCGATCGTTACACTTTCGCGATGTGTCACGAGGGAAAGAAGTGAAATTACGAAGGATGATGAAATGCCATGGTAAAATTACGATTTAATTATCCTATGTAAATGTACATTTGTAACAAGTGACATTTGCGACTCGTCGAGCTCCGTCAAACCTGCTTGCGCATTATGATAAATACAAAAATCGCCGGAATCATCCTTTTCCAAACGGCATTTGTACTCTTCCCCATCCCCTGGCGCTAGCTCCGCCATTAACCTGACTATCAAAAGATTATCAACAATTGCGCTTTTACTTATCTAGACTGGGGCTACCGTGCTCCCGGGACACGACTCTATCGCCAGAGTTTTTGAACGGACGAGTGCGTCGTCTTCCGTGGCGTATATCGACTTCGACTCCTGTTTCTCCTGCTCGCTCTGCCATTGTACCTGTTACGCAAAAAGATGCAATGAATTCCTCAAATACATTCCACAAATATTATCTTAACAAATGTATAGTATTTATATCTGTGGATTTTTAAATAAATTAAATAAATAAGAAGGACAAGAAACGAGAACGCAATAAAAAAGATGTAAAAACTAAAACTTTAATAAAGTAAAATAAAATTCTAGTTTTAATTTTTTTACATCTATTTTTTATTGTGCTCGTTTCTTGGCCTTCTTATTTATTTAATTTATTACTTTGCATTCACGAGCGGTTTTGAATTTTGATTTTTAGATCGTTTTTGTGCTCCCAATACTAAATATTCAAGTACCTTCTGCTTGTGCTGCTTAATGGCCTCGAGACACCTGTCCATGACCATTTTTTCCGTTAACACGCCGTCCTCCGAGGCGTAGGCTGCCGCCTGCCAGGTGACTCCGAGTTTCGCCAGCTCTCGGCCGGACATTCCCTCCGTCAGATCGGCCATCTTGGTGCAAAGCGAGCTGTAGTCGAACTGCGCGATCTTCAGTCTCTTGTTACCCTCGATCGCCGGTTGGAGAACGAATTTGTCGAAGTAGAGACGGACCAGACGCTCGCGCTCCTCGCGGCCCGGAAGACGGAACTCCACCATCTCGTCCAGCCGGTCGTTCACCGCCCAGTCGAACTGCTCCGGCGTGTTCGACGCGAGCATCAGCATGAACTTGTTGCTCTGCTCGCCGGTTCTGTACAGAAATGCGTTCAACATAGCCCGGAGATCCTCCGAGATGTGCTCGCTCGAGCGTTTCCTCAGGAATGCGTCCGCCTCGTCGATGAACAACAGCAGCCCCTTGCGGGACGTCAACGCCCAATCGAACACCTTGTGAATGGCAGTGACACCGTCTCGGCCCAGCGGCGCCAGATCGCCGCCCGTCACGATCGCGTAGTCCATGCCCGAGTGCTCCGCCAGCTTCTTCGCGAACATGGTCTTGCCGGTGCCCGGCGGACCGTGCATCAGGATGTTCCTGTACATGCCGCGATTGTACTTCGTGTTCTTCGTGGCTATCGCGATGTCGCGCAGCCTCTCCTCGAGCTTCGGCGCCAGGATCACGCCGGACAGCGCGTCGGTCTGCTTGTTCTTGAGCTTCTTGACCGCTTGAATGGGATGGCGAACGGTGTCGAGGAACGTGAATCTCGAGGTCTCGCGCACCAACGACGGTTTCCCCAAGCGAGACTCGATGTAGCGCGTCGCCACGCTGGTCGAGCCCTTGGCAGTGTATATTCCGAAGGCTATGAGAGACAAACCGCCCGCCGCCGCGAGGATCTTATCCCAATCCTCCAGCAGGGCTTTGGCACCCGAGCCTAATACTGAACCAGCTGTTCTGAAAAATATAATAATTATGAAATTAAATTTATAGCTATAGTAAAACTTACACACACACAAACAGATAAACATGAATAATAAATCAACAATTGCTTACTTTATTGATTCTAAAACGGTAATCCTCTTTTCCGAGGCTTTTAATCTAATCTGTTCCAGATTGAGATCCTGATTTTCTCTGTCAATCTTCGCCTTGGCTTTCAATTCCGCCTCCAGCTTTCTCATCTCGTTCTTATGCCTCAGGTCCATCTCGTGCTCTATCGTGGCTTTTCTCATGGCTTCTTGCTTGGCTACCGATTCCTCTTGTCTCCTCAGATTCTCGTCGTTCATCTTTTGCTGCTGAATCAACTGATCGTCGTAGCGCTTTCTAGCCAATTGGTCTTGATACTGCGCTCTCATTTGATGCTGCTTTGTCTCCTCCTGCATCGTTTTCCTTCTTTCCTCGCCCTCCACTCGTTTCTGCTCCGCCTTAAGCTGTTCGATGCTGGCCTCGTACTTCTTCAATTCGGTTTGAAATTCCACCTGCTTCGTCGTCTCCTGCATCTTGGACAAATCCAGGGCTTCTCTCGCATGTTCTGTGTTAAAATGAAATTACATTCATTGGTCTGCAGATCAAAGAAAAAAAAAGACATCCTTAATATTTTGAGCAAGATAATAGTTATGCTATCATATATTCAATTTATAACTACTATCGCAATGTTATTCTCAAATTGATAGTGCTATTAAACCTATTAACAATATCTTATATATCCTCTCTATAAAATGTCAGAGGCAATTGTATTAATTCTTTATATTTTTCACAGTGATGTTCATACATGACTTCGAGAAATGCGTGAAAGTTTCATTTATAAAAAAAATCCCAAGCAACGTCGCGAGTATGCGCGAGTATCCGGACAAGCGGACAGCTAATGCGGAGGATTGTCATCGACCGGGCGATCTCGCTCACGAAGACCCGTGTCCTCGGCGTTCCACAGGAATCGCCGTTCGCCGGATCGATCGACGAGTTCTCCGCGAAAAGTTGCGTCATCTCGTGCGCGCGAGAGGCGAGAGACGTGTCCCCCTCGTGCGCGCCGTGCCCTAACCTCCAAAGCCGCCCGCTTACGTAATCGCGCGCGCGACTTTTCGCGGAAAGTGCGGACAGTCGGCGTGAGAAGGGCATCTTACTGGATCGTTCGAGTTCCTTGGCGGCCGCGGCGGCGCGTTCCAGCGCGCTCGAGTCGAATCTGTAGGCCTCCATGGTGCCGCCGACTTTCGGGGGTGGACCACCACCGCCGCCGCCGCCGCCGCCGCCGCCTCCACCGTCGCCCGCCGGCGGTGGCGGCTGCACGAATTGCGTGAAATCCTGCGGCGGCTGCGAACCGCGGTAGCCGAATAGCCACGACATTCTTCCTGGCGGTCGACCGGCCGGTGCTCCGAGAACGGAAAGGTTACTACACTCGACGCGCCTCGACACACGCGTGTTCCGGAGCGTGTCTTGTCACGTGTACGCCGCGGGCCGCTCCGATCGCGGCGAATCGCTATGACGAATGCGCAACCGGTGCGTTCGTAAAAGTCGCTTTCTACCGCCGAGTGTACTACCTTAAAGCCAGTTTGCATGGGGATTCATAGGAGAGCTCCTTGATTGGATGTTCTAGCAAAAAGTAATTTCAAAAATTTGTCCATTCAAATGTAGATAAATTTTAATCTCAATTTATTCTTTATTTCTTTATAATTTAGACCTAAAAGGCATACCAAAAAAATTTAAGCAGTAAGTCGTAAGCGGTAAGCAAATCGGCCAATCACAATTGAAAATGTAAGGTTATAATTTAAACAGTAGCAAATCCAACACGTTGATTTCTTTACCGCTTACGTCTTACTACTTAAGTTTTTTTATGTGCGATAGCCCTAATGCGTCCGTTTTTTTTTTACACTTAAGTCTTTGACTGTTCCTTCTCCAATATATTTCTTTCGTTTCAGATGCAAGAAAATGTCAAGAAGTGCAGGTGATAAGGAGAGGAGGAAAGAGAGAACGTGAAATCGACGTGGAAATACGAGTTTGGAGGGGGGAAACGACCCGTTAGAACTTCCGAGATTTCCCGCGTCCGCCAATCGCGGCACGTCGATACTTCCAGAAGGACTCTACGTATATCGATATATCGATGATCTCACCGTACGCGGCAACGCTCTGACGGCTGCGGTGAGTGTGCTCTTTTCAAACATGGGGAGGTTATCCGATTGAGACAGTACTATGTGGGATCTCGGTAACCGTGGTGCCGTAGTGTTGATAAGTGTGACGTGCGGGTGTTTACTGGTCTACAACGCCTGGGGCGCTGTCCTGGCGCTGGCGTTCACGCTGCTCCTTGTGGTGTACGCGTGCTACTCCCTGCTCGCCAACGACAGTCTGGTGTCGCCGCACGCGTATCACGTTCTCGTCTATCTGCGGGAGGCGGTGCACGAGCTCGTCGCGGGGCTACGCGCCGTCCACGGCCACGGTACCGGTTACGTGCGTAAGCTCTGGCACAGTGCGAGCCGTTGTTACCGCGAGCGTTTTCCCTCGTTCAGGATGGATAGACGACGCGCGGGCAACTATCAGCTCAGCAGCGACGAGTACAACAGCGTCGCGAGTGCTGTCAGGCGCGTAGATTCGTCGCCGTTGTCGCCATCGTCGTCGTCGTCGTCCAGGTTCGGCTTGATCGATCAACTCAGCCCGATCCCGTGCGTCCCGTATCTACGTTCGCGCGTCCACGATACGCTCGGGTCGGACAGTAGGCTGTATCATGCCGGCGATTACGATTGTACGTTGCATCAACAGCAGCAATCCGCGCACGGCAAGCACACCTCCACGCCGGTCCTGAAACCCGGCGGCGGCAGAGAGAATCCCAGGAACGGCGACGTCAATCCGATCCCGCAGTCGCGCGGGATGTCCGCCAAGAAGATTCTGTCCTCGCTGAACCACGGTGAGAATGTCACGCAGTTCAGTCCGGAAGGCTCGCCGTGGGGCATGAGTATCAGCCCCAAAATGCGCCCCAGACCAGCCGGCGTGAAAACGGTTCAGACGGTTGCCGGACCGTTATTAGCATCGACGAGATACAATATCGATCCCAAGTAAGTGCACGTTTGCGGGTAACATAATTTAACCACATGCGTTTCTTTCCCCCTTTTATCTCTTAATCTAATACGTGTATACTTCAAATTCTGCATCTATTTCTACATATGTATATCAAATAATTGTGCTTTTTCTTTCGCATCTCTGGTTATATTTCTTTTTTCAAATGCAGATTGTACACGGATGTGTCGTCGCCGGGTCTTACAACGAGGCTAACCAAGTACGCCACGGAAGCGAAGAACAGGCTAACTCATCTATCTCAGTATGGCACTGGGCAATTTCCGAAAGTTAATCTCTATGCGAATCCAATTCCTCTGCTGAACGCGAAAATGACGAAGATGAGAATACCCGTAACGGTCAGAGTTGCGCCGCCCGATGTAACGAAATACTCTCCGCCTGAGAAGCAAAAGATTCTATCTAATATTTGCCACGCGGAGAACAGATCACCCGCGAGCGTTGTCCAAGTCTTACGAGAGATCTCGTTGAAACGACACGCGTCGACGGACGACGTTAGCTTTGACGTCGCCAAGAAGCAGAGGACGGACTTCTTCAATGAGGAAAGAGAATCGATTTTGGAGGAGAACAAGCAGAAACGAGGCAGGGATGAGTCTAGGTCCGACGAGGATCTTTCTCCCCAAAGTAAATCTGCCAGACCTGCGAAACGTACGAAAACACGTTCCTGTTACGATATCTTAAACTCTTTGACATCCAGCGTCCACGTTGCGGCTGGAGTTAAAAGAAAAGCGGGTAAGTATCAATTTTTACCTAATTCTGTACTGAATTATTCGACGCGTGCAAATCTTGATCAACGTCAATGCGTTTGTACAGCCGATTTCTCGCGCAGTGGCACACCCGAATTCGAAAAGCACTTCAAGTCTCTGGAAAGCACACAGCCCAGTATTTCTTCTACTGTATCGCAGTCTCAGAACTTAGTTGTAGATAGTGGTAAATCTGATCCTAAAGAGATACATTCGACAAATCCTGAGACTCTTAATTCTAAGAAAGTAGAGAAATTTCCTTTGGTAAAAGGAATATTGAAGTCATCTAAAGAATTAAGGCTTAATTCGGATAAAACGGGACTTGCTCACAAGATTGGGAGAAACGTCAATGAAATTGATAATTCTAAATCCGCTGCACCGGTGAGATCCGTTACATTGACGGATAAACTATTTATGAGAGCCGAACCCGAGAGGAACGAACAGTTCAAGTCGCTCGTGGAGGAACCGAGTAGTATAAAAGTTCGATTTGCAACGGACAACGTGGAAGAAATAAAGAAGGAAGATTTGCGAAATATGAGGCAAACCAGTATGAGAGCCAGGCTCCAAAGTATGTTTGATGCAATATCAGGGAAAGGTAAATAGCATATTATATATTATTATATAACATAATATTATAAATTAAGTTTAATAAAATAACATAATATTCATTATTCTTATTAATACCCGAGATGTTTACATACCTTTGGTGTGAGCATCTTTTAAGTTCCACACTAATATAGATTTTATCCCGATTCAATTTACTAAGAATTATAAAAAGATAAAGAGTTAGTTGAATCGAAGATATAAATTAATTTGCATTGATGGAAACAGGCATAAAAAATCTATATAAAGAAATACATTTTATGTTTATATTCATCCTTTGTCTCGTCTTATATAATAATTATTTTATTTGCACTTTCAGCAGAGAACAAAATCAATCCTGATGTCGTGATTCAAGCAGAGGACGTTAACACGGTCACACCGCCGGTCACACTGCCGGTCACACTGCCGGTCAGCTGCGCGACTCTCAATTCCTCGACAACCACAACAAATATCAATACTACACCGCTGTCCACCGCGGCCATCATACCGAGCGGTTTCTCTTCATCGAGGCCCAGTACGAAAGTCCAAACAAAGTCCGACACAGTTTTCAGCATACCGAAAACCACGTCGCCAGCGCAGTTGATTGTGCCAGCAACAAGTAGTCTCGAGACGAATTTGATCGTCCAGACGAGTCAAACTGCCGAGCAAACGAAAGTCGTGTCGATCGCGCCCGCGGTTACGAGCACGGAGAAATCCTTAGAAATCGTATCCTCGGCTCCAAGTATAGCAGTACCGACTTTTAATTTCAACAAACCAGCCGCAGAAGCGCCAGCCGCGACGTCGAACAACACTTTGTCGAACTTTGGCATCGGTACATACAGCAGCAACACCTTCACGCCACCTTCGTCGAAGTCTACTAATTTCTTGATAGCTGATAAAGCGCCGTCGAGATCAACATTTTCACCGATCAATTCGAACGCTATGACTCAAGAAAAAATCGAGACGAGTAACATTGTCACGCCAAAGGCAATCGTCAGTTCGTCCATCATCGAGAATACTCACACTACTTCTAGCTTCACTTTCGGTAGTAACAAACCTATCTTATCTGCCGTATCTACTCAAGCTGCCGTGCCAAGTTTACCGTCCCAATCTCCAGGGACGACATTATCGCCGGTCAATACAACTACCGCAACCAGCATCGGCGGTTTTAACAGCGTTGTAAACAGCAGCACATTGAACAGCGTTACGACTGCCTCAGCGATCACACATATGTTTACTTTCCAAAGCAATACTACGACTCTGCAATCTCCGAAGTCGGATAACTTTACGTTTGGTCAGCCAAATAGTAACGTTCAATCGAAGATAAACGCTTTTGGAAGCCCTGTGAATAGCCAAGCAACGTCACACCTTACGACTACTTCCTTTAATTTTACGCCCAACACATCGATAACGACCATCGCAAATAGCTCGTTCACCGCGAACACCACGACTGCCACGGCACCGACATTCGGACTATCGGGCGCGTCCACGTTCTTGCTGGGTACGACATCCGCTACTTCCTCGATACCTACTTTATCCACCAGCAAACCTCTGTTCGTTTTTGGCACTTCCAATACTCCAAGCACGACGTCTACAGCTATAGCTCTACCAGCTCCAACTACGAACAGTACGAGCAGCTTGAGTGCGATAGGCAGTAACGCGATTCCTGCATTCGGAGCGCCCATCACTACCACCACCGTTCCGCAATTTAACGCGTCTGCGATTACGGTTCCGCAATTCGGCACACCTACGACCACCGTTCCGCAATTCGGCACACCCACCACGTCCATTTTCGCCACCACGTCGATCACAACGACGAACATGTTTGGGACGACCAACAGCAGTCAGCCGCTTTTCGGGACCGCGTCAGGATCCGGAGCGACGTCGGAAACCGCTGGTATATTCAACACCCCGGCGACCGCAGCCTCTTCGATCTTCGTCTCGACGACTAACGTCGTGTCGTCGTCCGGCAGCACGCCCAGCTCCAGTTTGTTCTCCAATGTCAACGCTAATTCGGCTTCGACCACCGCGGCGCCTCCGGTGTTCGGTAGCGGCGCGCCGATTTTCGGCCAGACGAAGCCGTCGACGTCTTTCGGAACGGCGAGTGGCATGTTCGGCAGCACAACGGCGCCGTTGTTCGGCTCGACCACGCAAACCGGTCCGACTGCACCTGCGCCCGCGCCCGCGTTTGGCATCACCGGCAACGTCTCCACCACCACGATCACACCTAGCTTCGACACTACGAACAACACGACGCCCGCGTTCGGAGCACCTGGCGTGGGCACGGCGACGAACGTGCAGGCGACACAACCGGCCTTCGGCGGTACAACCGGCTCGATATTCGGTTCGACCGATAACACCACCGCGTCAGTTCCCATATTCGGAGCGAACGCCACGCCGGCCACTGAAACCTTCGGCATCTCCTCGGTGACGAGCACCTTCGGCACGCAAAATCCTCCGAGCCTCACGTTCGGTGCCGCAAGCGCCGGCGGCGGCGGCGGCGGCACCACCACGTTCGGTGACAACAAGTCTCTATTCGGAGCGACGCCCGCGACCAGCCCGAGCTTCGGCGGATCGAATCCGTCTGTTCCGGCCTTCGGGGCCAGTAACGCTAATAACGCAAGCAGCAGTACAAACAATATGTTCGTCTTCGGTGGCGCTCAGAAAGACGGGCAGCAGAACCCGACGTTTTCCTTCGCATCCAACTTCAACGCTGGAAGCAGTAACTCTGCGGCCGCACCCGCCCCCCCGTTCCAGTTTGGAGCCCCATCTGCCAAACCAGGTAATCAGGAGTGTGAATTGCTTTAATGCTGAAGCGATTGTCATTAAAAATTTAAGTAGCGTCGCAAACACTAAAGCCTTAGATGTATAAGAAACGACAAACTATAGTTTGTGAAATACTTATTACGTGTAATCTTTTACTTCGTTTAAACGCTGACTGGATTACGCTAATTGCATTTGCATTTCTCTGTTTTCAGCAACACCCGGATTCAACTTCACCGCCCCGCCGGCAGCTCCCACCCTCAATTTCGGAACCACGGCCGCGCCGACCTTCAATCCCTCGACGCCCGGCATGTTCAGCATCGGAAGCGGATCTACCGCGCCGCGATCTAGAACAATTCGCTCGCGGAAACCGAGATGATGGAGAATGTAAATGCCGCCTGTCCGAGTGCATATATTTTCGGTTGAAATACATATTCGAAGTGTTTGTTCAATTACATTCTTTTATATATGTATATGTAGCGTCCCGTGTGTAAAAGGCATACATTCGACATGCGTATGTCGCATTTCGATATTTAATATAATTTGATAAATAAATCACATGACAGAGAGATTGCACATACTGTGGGAAGATAATAATTGCGAAGTACTAGGCGGTCTGATCGCGTTTTAAAAAAATAAAAACGTTCGGTGACGGTTGCTAAGCGCATCTCTACTTTGTATATAGCGTATATCCTGTAATACTACATATAGGATGTTTTATCTAATCTGATCATCTGCAATAACTTTGTCACCTTTAGTGATATCGAAAAATAAGTATAAGGAAGAAGTTATTTCGATTCGAAAAAACAAATATGCTCTCGTTCATACGTGCAATCAAAATTTTTTTTATTATACAAAAGTATTAAGGCAAATTGTGAAAAAAGATTAAGATGAATGTTTCCTCTGTGATTTTCTTATGATTTTCATATAAAATGTTAAATATATCCGAATATATAAGATATATATAAAATAATCACTTTTTAAATTTGCACTTTTAAATTGATTTTAATATACATTCTATAGGCATATGCGAAATGATTACAAAAATTTCATAAAAATGCGCAGCGATTATATTTTTATATAAAAATTATATTTAAAAACTTATGTAACAATAATTTTTATATAAATATTTCTGTAGAAAACTAATTAGTCTATTTCAAATCAGAAAAAAAAATCAGTTTTAAATCATTATTTGCTGGAAAAGAAAGGAGGTCAATAATCTCTGAAAACGAAAACAATGACAAAGAACAAAAAATTTTTTTCTATCCGAAATACTTGTCCTTTCGAATCCGATTTTTTCGTTACATATTTTTTGATATCAAAAATGATAAACGTATTACAGACGGTCGAGTGTTAGATGAGTCTTGTATACACAGCAGTCTATTCATGTCCTTAATCCGTTGTACCCGCTCGGAAGAAACGGCATAAATCTTGCAGAAGATTTCACACTTCGAAACTTGACGCAACTTTATATAAACGTAACGGCTGCTCGCCCGCGGAGTCTCATTGTTGCGCAACAAAATGCAACGCGTAATCCGATTCAGAAATCCAATAAAGTGCGAGCTTGTCTACCTGTATATTTGTAACTAACGTACATATATGATAAATAACGTAAAATGATGTTTTAAATGATTAAATTGAGAGAGTGTCATATGCGCGTCTTTACACGATTGTATTATCCGTTTTAAAACCCATCGACAATGCAGAGACTGCATATTTCTTTCTTGATATACATGTGCGATCGACGTATTAATTCGTTGCTCTCGTTATTTTCTCTGCGAACCATCATTTTCGTCTCGCGTTTGTTTCCGAACGTATGCTACATATTTCTTGTTTTCCAGAAAATTTCACATTTCAGGGGCGCGTTCGGATTCCCACTCAAGTGCCACCCAGGTATCATATTATCCTTATTATTCATTGAAAGTTAAACAGAGATAACGTGATACCTGGAGCATTCGGATGAGAATCTGAACGCGCCCTCGGAAGGGGGGAGGAGGGGAAGAGCGAGTGATGCGATTACGGTGTCTCCACGATCAATGCAAGTTGTGATTCATTTCAAGTAAATGAAGATGCATTTATTATAAGCGACACGAGTTCCCTTCTCATCGCATTATTCTCATGCGTGAAACTTCAAAAAAAAAATGTTCACGCATTTGAATGCGATGAAATTTATGATAATTCATAAATTATCATAAATTTGCGCATTTTCGTAATAATGTTCAAAGTTCGAGAGGTATAGAAATTGAGTGTGTGTCAAGATATGCGTCCTGTAAAGTGGAAGGAATTTTCTGGAAAATTCGCTCGAATTAATAATGTATCCATTATTTATGACTGCCGGCTCGATAACGGATACAAATACGTTGTTCAGCGTGCGAGTTTCCTGTTCGTGTGGCGTATCCTTCGCGTTCGTGGGCGATCTTCTTATCCGATCAACTGATTGTATCTCGTCATCGCTTCTTTTCCTACAATGTAGACGTGTTAATATTAGTCATGTGCATTAGTCAACATTAGGCAACAAGTGCGCGTCGCTCGCTACACACGTGCGTATAATTGTTACGGGATTGAATACAGTTTGTACTCTTCTTCCTTTATATATCTAGGACGTTAAGAAATGTATTATAAATCTGAAACCTCATGTGTGTTAATTAAAAGACGTTATTGTCTTTAAAAATTGTACAGAGTGAGAGAGAGAGAGAGAGGATCTGAATGCGTTTAGTATTAAAGTATTATTGTCTCATTAACGCGTTGATAAAAGTTTTCAACGTTCAAGCAAGTACTGTAATATATTACTGACAATTATATCTCACATAAAGAGAACATTTTCTCATATTGCGTAATGTACATTACAATAAACGAGCGTTTAAAGTTTTTTTTTTAAATCGTTATTAAAATTATTGTTGCTAAAGTTTCTTCCGTAACGCCGAAAGATACCAGAGGTTCGTGTACGTTTATCCCGAATCTAAATTTTTTGTTTGTTCCGCGTGTTGACAAACGTTCTTATTTTTCGTTGTGTACGTTTATTTGCGGTTTGAGTATTTCGAATCTCTCTCTCTCTCTCTCTCTCTCTTTCCCCGGTTCCCCTAAAGCTCTTTCTTTTTTTTTCATTTCTATTTTTATAGATTTCTATTTTCTAGAAAGTTATAAAAGAATATGACTTAAAACTTTAAAAATTCCTGTTTATTCTTTTCTTTCGAAAAAATTTAAATATTTCTTTCGGCAAGGACAAGGTCCTCTCCCTCCCTCGTGACCTCTGCTATTGTATGGTCTTTGTGAAAAATTTATTGCATCCTGTCTTTTGTCGTTTATGACAAAGCATAATTTTAGAGAGAATGTTGTAATAGATATTTGAGGTTCGTTGAATTCGAAATCTCTCTCAAAGCCCTCGGAGGTACGATGGCGTGGCTATATGCCTCTATCGGCGGTGCGCGCATGCGCCGGGATTTCCGGCGCCGATCGTGCGTCTTCGTGAGCGATTGGCGCGCACGATTGGCGGCGCGGCGGCCGACCGACGGGGGTCGGCGAATCAGCGGGCGCGTTACACGAGCCGAGGCATGGTGTTTGTCCGGTCGCCTGGATGCACGTCCATTGCTAACATCAGCAGAAAGGAGTTAACATCATAGTGAGGCAGAAGGTACCATCCTGGTTTGCTCGTCTCTGCACCACCTTACCACCATGGGTGAGACGGATAAACAGCCCGAACAACCCAAGGCTGTCCAGCAGAAGATGGTCATCGGTGAGTGGCGATCCGCCGATTATTTCCGCGCCGCGCGGCGTTTCTTTCTCCGCGTCTCCGATCTACGCCGCGACGGAAAGAGGCTCGTCGACCGCGCGGTAGCGGCGGCGGCGGCGGCGACCACGGCCGTCTCTTCCGTCGCCGCGCGTTCGTCCGCCCGTAATGGCGTCCACGGTGGCGTTGCGCGGCGGCCCGCCGAGCCATGTGGCCCGGCGTCCACGGAAATCGCGCGGAGCATCCTCGCGGGATCCGGGCATCGTGGAGCGCGCCGGGCATCGCCGGGCACGGCGTTAGCGGCTGCGAGGCGATACGGCGCCCGCTCGGCCTCCATTTTTCATCAGCTGATGCTCTCTCCTCGCGGACGGGATTTTTCCTCGGCGGCCGCGGCTCCTTGGCGGAAACTCCGTTCTCTTGCCTCGGCCATCGATTTTTCGCCGACGCCGCGTCGCTCGTTCCCGCGTCGCGTCGCGTCGCATCGCATCGCATCATGTCGCATAACCTGAAAATCGACGGCAAATGGAAAGCGGCGAAAATCGACGCGAAGGAGAATTTTCCAGAACGTTACATTCACCGAGATCCTCCGGCGATATCGAGCGTTTCCCTCCGCACCGGAGCGATCTCTTACGTCGCGATCCAAAATATCTTTGCCCGCGCGCGCTCCACGTTTTCGTTACGTAAGCGCGTCGCCGCGTGCTCCTCGGAGCGTGCTTCGCCGCGGCGAAAACGTACGCTATACGCTCGCGCCTCCGAAGCTGGCTATAGATCGATCGATCTCACACTTCCGCCACGTGAAGACGCTCGCGTTATTTCGAAAATACACGGGAACCCGAAATATGTTGAAATCTATGTAGAACAATCTCTTTTACAGAAACATCGAAATTCTGAGACTCGGTAGAACATGTCCATTATAATATATTAGAATATTCTTTGTCCTTTCTGGAACGGGAAAGATCGTTAAAGATCAAATTTAAATCTTTAGTTTATTTCCAGAAATATTCAGTTTCTACAAATCTCTTTAAAATCTTTAAAATCTCTTTGTACCATTAACTTACATGTATACGTCTTATCAAAATTCATAATGAGATTTAATTGAACGTATTTACTTATATATTGCGTCTTCTTTTTTTCTGAGGCGAGAAATCGTTAAAGGTCAAATTAGAATTAAATTGATCTTCAGAAATGTCTACTACAGAAATTTCTCGAAAATCGTAATATTATTAATCTACACGTACACGTCTTATTAAAATTCATAAGATTTATAGAAGATACAGTTGCACTTTTTTCGATTTTCCTGAAATTGTTGACGATCAAATTTGATCGAGAACGATCGAGAAAATTCGAAGAGTATGTTCATTCTGGAGTTCTCGATCATTCCGGGAATTTTATGAGTTAAATTTATTCGTCGAAATAATATCCAGAAACTAATAAATGTACAGAAGTATAGCTATAATAGAATTATGCTGTTAATCTCTGTACGTATCAATTTATACCTCATTAAAATTCATAAAGTTTAGAAATGTGTTCGTGCCCTCGTTAATGCCTAATCAAGTCATTACACGTAATTGAGTTTTAAATAGTGCTCGTATATCTTAAGATCGTTGAGATAGGAAGGTGGTGGCTTTAATGTTAAAATTCCGCGAACACGATTCACCTGCCTGATCGTTATTCGGGGAAATATTACTCAGATTTTCTGAGTGCGAGGAATTTCATCGATCGCGGATCGTTGCTGATACACTAATTTCGACCTTTGTTTGGGTTACACTGTGCGACAAGGTCGCGTGTAACTGTTGTGAAAGATAGTGTTATCATATTTTCGTTCGAAACGCAAAATCGCGGGACGGTGTACATGTATGTAGTAACATATGCTATTTTCCAACGGAATTCACATCTTTTAACGAAATTTGGAGATTCCGTGGCTCCCTCCGGACGATTTTATATCTCCTTAAATTCCGTGTTACATTTTTTTTAAAGACTGAGAACATTAGATTTCACACCCGTTCCTACCGATATAGCTTAATCTTTTTATCTCGGTTCAACTTTATTATCTTTTTCTAGTTCTAAGAATTTGAAAAAGGTAAAGAATAAATTTAATCAAGATAAAGTTAATTTAAGTGTTAGTAGAAATGGACATTAATCACTAAATAGATCATCGTTCGTCTTCGAACGCATTGTTTTTCGCATTGTCGATTTTTACTCGATTTTCTCGGACTTCTAACGCATTATTCCTAGAAATATTATTCATGACGTACAGAAAAACTGTATCCGTTATATTTCGTCTTCGAGCACGCTTACGTGTTCGTAAACACGTGATATGTACCTGCGGTTAAGCACGTTACTTCCCTCTTCAAGGTCGCTTTCACAATTTAATAATAACAATAAGTACAGGCAGCATTTTTTCCCCCGACTCATTATTCACGCACGCGACTCGAATATTCTGGATAGTTTCTCATATTAATTACTTTTATTTTTATTTTTTCAAATCATACCACAACGTTTTAAATCACCTAACGAAAATTATGAGTTGATCATCCCCCTGAATTTCGTTCTGAACTTATAATGACTGCATGCAACACATTGTATCGCATATATCATGAAACTTTTTTTTATTTCAGCTAACAAAGTGACCGGAACTGTGAAATGGTTCAATGTCAAGAGTGGCTACGGTTTCATTAATAGGTCAGTAATCATTATTTTGCAACTGCCTCGCGCTTCTCTGTATCTTTTTTTTCATCATTTGCGACGTTCGCCCGTTTACGTATTACTAGATAGAAGAGAAGATACATACATGCGCGCGCGCGTGTGTATATGCTGTGTATGTGTGGGCGTAAGGGTTACTCATACAGTATTAATTTAAACGTCCATTTCGCGCTGCAACCGCGCGAATATTAAAAGCGACGTCGTGTATATTATAACTGTTGCATCTCCCATGAAAGAAGAATGGCCTTCCCCTCCCCGCGAGCACGTCGCGAAATGTCTATCTTTTTTTCGTCGCTTACTCTCTTGCCCCGAACTGCGGTTTAAAATTATGTTGGCTCATCTTCCGTTTGTATCGCGCGTTTACCGAATAAATTTTGCGACTTCCGTCGTCGTTGCGCGTTAAATTATTCAAGAAGAATATTAACCGACTGACGCAAGCGACTGTTCCGCGTGAAAATTTCAGTTTCTCGCGTTAATCCTGGCAGAGTTGTTTGTCGAGTCCGTAACGATAATCCGCAGTCGTATTCGACCAGGATTTCTTTGTTTCAAACGTTCTCTTTTGAAAAATCTCGAGGTAAATAAAATATCATTTTGTAATTTCGTGTTCTTTTGAGAAATCTTCAAGGAAAGTTAATAAAACTTTTATAGATTTTTAACATTTATTTTAATGTACTGATATACTTATGTACTGACATACTTATTTTTTTTTTTTAATTAAGGACACATGTTTCGTTATCATCGACAACTTGTCCTCGCTCTACTCTTTTAATTCCCCTCTCATTCGATTCGGAAACTGATCGTGACGGGCTGACCGGCGTAATAGAACGTGCCTAAATTTCTGGACTGATCTCACGCTATTTGCAGTCTGAGGACGTAAGATTTGGAACGCGAGGGACGCTAATTGATAACTGATTTTAGCGCACGGGGGAAACGGTGGTCTCTAATATTAGGAAAATCGCCGTCTCCGCCGCAGGTTCGACCTGCAACCTCGACCTGGCATTACGCCGGCACGGAAAATAGACGCTTCATTCGGCACGTGGACGGACCGTATAGGAACGTAGAGCCGGTCCCTCGCTATTTCGAGGTCTCTCTATTTATCTGGCGGATCGCCAAGGAAATTTTCGCGCGCGCGCGCAGTGATGCTTTTGCCGGTGCTTTACGGCGCGGAACTTTCGCACGACTGGACGGGGCAGATTTTCTTGGAGCGCGCGCGCTTTCACGGATAAAAACTGAGCCGGATTTCGGAGAAGTTTTTATACGCGTGTGACTTCTCGCTCGTCTTCGTGTTTTTCCTCATACACGCGAAGGAGGGAGGGGGGGAGTATGGAAGACAGTTTCACACGATCGGTCTTAGACTCTCGAACATTTACCTGCTCTCTCGAAAGATCTCGAATGCACTTTCACTGACGCCCGACGTGTCGCAAAACATTAGAAACGGCCGTTACGATACAGCTGTTTGGCAGATATAGAGCACTTTCCTCGAATCGTTCCAAACCAGCAAGTAAATTGTCGCGTGTCACTTATACAGATATTCTACTTTTCGACTAGTCTCGAGTACCTGTCTCGAGAAATGTAAAAATATAATACATAGTTGTATTTCTTGTTTTAATATCGGTATCTTATCTCTTTGAGAGGCGTCTCGCGCTATGAGTATATATAAAAGATAGTACATAATATGAAAGATAATACACCGTACATCTCGTCTAAAACGAAAATTTCTATTTTTGGAAGAAAGAGATTTCAACTCTACGTCTCGTATCTGTTGCTCGTTCACGAGCTTATTACGCGTAACTTACTTTTCGGTACACACATGTCATAAATTTATTAAAATGACAACAAACTGCGAATATTGAAAATTTTGTAATTTTAAATGCGAGAGAAATTTGCTTTATAGTGGTGGTTTATTAACAATCAGAGAATATAGAATCGAGAATCTGTTTCAAACTTGCTCAGAATTATTCTGAGATACTTCCGGGACAAATTTCTCTCTGGCAAATTGGCAAAATTATTAAATGAATAGAATATCGCCGGGAAATCTGCTCCCGAAATCATACGTTTTGTTGGAATCTAATAGTCTCTACCGAGAATACTGAGCCCCATTGTTCATTCGTCGTGTTCGTCCCGAATTCGGCGAACTCGATTATACCACAATGGGAGAGCAACGTTCCGCTTCGATACCCATTGGATCGTACCCATTAATTATTCGGCATCGATCCATGTTCTGAGGCAAACAGTGAAATTTCGCTACAATATAGATTTCTGTTTTCATGGCTGATATTAAAGTTGACGAATAGAAGAACGGCGAATATTCAGTATAGCGGTGAATTGAAAAGATAAAAAAAAGTTTTTTCGCAATGCATGAAAACATGTTAACTTTTGCTTTTCTTAAAAAATAATTAAACGAAATTATGAATAATGAATTATGAATGAATATATTAATATATTAATAGCTATTCATAATTAGATAGATATTAAGGCCGGTAATTCAGCCTCTGAAAACTTGATTTGATTTTCGTACCTGATTCATCTTTTGTTAACTACGCGCGAGGGGGAATCGCTGTCTAGCTGTGACAGCTGGCGTTTGTGTACGTGTTGTATTTCTCTCCTGACCGTGTACATACGTGTACGTGTGTGTATGTGTGCACCGCGGAGTTCAACGACCTCTCTACTCCGTGCTTTGCTCCGCAGCTTCATGGATTCCGATTACGTCTGTGCATTCGCGAATTCATGCGTAGGACAGATGTATATACATACATATCGTTACGCGCGACGCGTGTATCGTGTACATGCCGCAACTTTGTAGAGAATGTAAATTACGCGGATCTCTACTACTGATCCGATTAAGCCGAATTTCTGCCGCGCGCATTGTGGGCAGGTGGATGCGATTATTATATTTCCTTATTTATTAATACCGACTCAACGCAAATTTTTCTTTTACGAAAATATGAATTGTGATGGTTTTGAAATTAACATTCAGGGTTGTTTCGTATAATAAATATTACAATCGACTGCTATCATGAAATTAATGTTAACGAAGTTATAGGAAAATAATTATGGATATATAGATTTTTTTAAATATAAATTTCGAGGGAATTTTAACCTTAACTTAAAAACTTATTGTAAAAATATGCATATCGACTGCTTTTAACACAATTGTTCATCCTGTCTGTTACAGAAACGATACCAAGGAAGATGTGTTCGTTCATCAAGTGAGTGTCTCATGATTAATAGCACACAGACAATATTTTTAAGCACTATAAAGTAATGTAAAATAATATTTTTAAATACTATATATGTCGACTTTGTGTGTAATTACAGTCGGCCATCGTCAAGAACAATCCGAGAAAGGCCGTACGTAGCGTGGGAGATGGCGAGGTCGTCGAGTTTGATGTCGTTATCGGTGAGAAGGGTCACGAGGCCGCCAATGTTACTGGTCCAGCGGGTGAAGCGGTAAAAGGCTCGCCCTACGCTGCGGACAAACGTCGCGGATATCGTGGCATCCACTGGGTGTATCCGAGACGCGGCAACGGACGGCCGCAGAATCGTAGATCACGCGACGGCCAGGAGGGTTACGAGCAAGGTGCGCTGTCTACCATTCGTTTAAACTATACTATTCTCATGTGTTTGTTGTCCTTTCGAATATTGAGAGTGATTTATCTGTTAATTTAGGCGAAGGCAAAGTCGGCGATGATACAAATGCCGAGGGTGGCGGCCAGCCCCAGCAGCAACAGCGTCGCTATAGGCTGCGTCGCCATTATGACGGTTATTACCGTGGAGGACGGCGTTCCGGGCCCAACCCATCGCAGCAGCAGGGAGATGCTGGCGAAGGTGGTGAGCAAGGGGAAGGAACCGGCGGCGAGGGTGGCGCTCCGCCGCGCGGTGGTGGTCGTGGACGCGGTGGTCCATCACGACGTTACTTCCGCCGCAATTTCCGCGGGGGAAGAGGTGGTGGTCCGCCACGACGTCCTCGCAGCCAGGATGGCCAGGTAAGGGTTAGAACCTAACCCTAAGCCAAGCTAGCGTTTCTTAATTTATGGCGATTAGTAGATTAAAAGTATAGAACATTAATTGCGAATTAGCATGTTACCTGAATCTCACACGCGTTGTTTCATCCAGAGTTCCGAGTGATTATGCATTTTAATACGTGCTTTATTAAATTGTGTATCATGTTTAGAAAATGCTTGAAATATTTCTCAGAAACAAGAATTATAAAGGATATGTAATTGTTACAAGTATTTGTCCTTTTGGATATTGAGAATTATTTGTCTATTTCGATAATTTAGGAAAAGGAAAGGTCGGCAATAATGCAAACGTTGAAGGAGACGGCCAATCACAACAGCAAGAGTTATAAAAAATATGTAATTATTACAAGTAATTACTGATAATGACATGTTCTTCACAGCTTTTTTTTTGTTGTTGTTGGCCGACTCTCCTTCGGCGTTTGCATTATCGCCGATCTTTCCTTCTTCTAAATCATTGAATTAATAAATTATTTGTTAATATCCAAAAGGACACAAACAATTGAAAGTTAAACGAATGGTAGACAGAGCGTATCTCTTTAAACGTGATACAATTGTAAAATTGTAACATTAATTAGAGTGAAATATTTCAATCTGAATCACTTATACCACAATTATAATATTAATTTGAAATAGGAACGACTTGACAATTAATTCAAAATTATACTAGAAAAGTATTTTAATTTTGAAAATGTCGTGTTCTTGTATTTGAGTTTTTACTTTTGTCGTTAAACGTTTTTCCTTTGTCGGTTAAAGGCATTTTGAAACACGCGACCTCGGAACTGTAGATGAAATACATCTTGTATTACCGGTTTAAAACAGTTTTGTTCTACTGTACATTAATTTCTGTTACATCAAACACTATTCACCACAAAATTCACCTCGGTTGCTTTCACCTAAATGGTGTACATTGTCCCTTTATTATTTCGTTCTGACAATATTATTGCATTATTTCATAATAATCAATGGACTTCGCACATTGTAAACGTTTATTTGAATTTTGCATTCTTGCAAATGATAAATCGTGTATCAAGTCTGAACTAGCTGTTTAAATTTGCACGGTAGTGAATATAACAATAAAAAAAAAGGAAACTGAGTAGTATTTAGGCTTTATAAAAATATTGTTAGATGCATTTCCATAGAAATATTATACTCATATTTTCAACAAGTTTCTATAATTTCTTATACTGATGCATTGTCCGCGCACGGAGTATGCGTTCTGTTCTGTTTGTGAACAATTTTTTTTTTTTTATTATTTTGTAAAACAATAAAGTATTTTATACGAGCATCCTAACGAAATTTTCTACAATCGGCAAAGCACCCGCATACCGAAATAAGGTATATTGTAAAAAAAAAAAAACGAAATTAGGCGACCGATGACGAGGCTGTTGGCGAGAGTGCGCAACTCGGTAATTCGCAGAGAAATCCACGACCACGTTACAGACGACGATTAGTACGACGACCTCGTGCGACGTCGAGCCAACAGACGAACACGGTAGAGAATTTGCCATCTGCGGCGACAAAACGCAAATCCTCCAATCCCGCCTCCTCTCCCGTCATCCCTCTACGAACACCGGTCACCGATATCCCTCCCGTGTCCTGCGATAAATCCACAAAGGTACTGTTGATTCTATTGTTGATCTCTTTCTTAGTGAAGGTATAAGGTAACTTTCGCATTATCTTAGATACCTCTTACTGACGACAAGAAACGGACGACAATCTTACAAATCTCGCTTACGAATACTATTACTTTTACATATATGCAAATGTAATTTAACGAAGACCGCAGTGAATGTCTATACACAATCAGCATTATAAAAAGAACGCTTAAGAATTTACATTGTCGCAATATATTGTTAATCACTGGTTTCACTTACATTACATTCTGTAAATACCTATTTCTTCATCAACAGATTGCACTCGTCAACATTTACTCTCTTTCGCGTACATACATTCGATCGTACACCTTAGATGCGAACTGTAATCAGAAATTATGAGCTTGTAGCTCCGAAGCCAAGCTGATCAATTTCGCTTTCTATACTTTTGTTTTGTACTACAACATACAATTATAATTTATAATTTTGTTCTCTTTTATTCTTCTATTTTACGGAGTTGATCAGCTCGACTTTTTTTTTTTTTTTTAAGAAACACGTATTTAACTCCGACGTAGCGGAGTATCGCAAGACGTGGGATTTTGCAATTTTTTTGAAACGAACGAGAGAAAGGTCTTTCGATTAGGAGACTGCGAATGCGCGATCTGTCGACAAAATACAGAGCGGTAGCGCTTAGCACACACTGTTTGCACGTGTCTCTTTGTACTCTTTTCAGTCGGAGCAGAAGTCTGATGCACCTAAAGATTCGGATGCACCTGCCGCTGCCCCTGCTCCACAGGTAACGTCGCTTTGTTTTTTTTTATTTTTTTTTATATTTCCTATGTTCGATCTCGCAGAAGCTCGTCTCGGTTGCCGCAGTTTTTTCGCTCACTTCCGACATTAGGTGTGATCGACGAGAAGCAGATCTTCCGATTTATTTTCTTGCTCTCTCCGTTACTAATGTTTCCTCCTTTCGTTTCTCGTTTCTCTAGAAGGAATTGCATTTTCTACACATAGCTTTCATACACGATATTCTTGAAAAGAAAATGTATAGACGATTATAGTAAAGAGATATTTTAACTACGCGTTGCATACCAATTACCATTCTCGTGATGTATCGCCTTTTGCTACTTTCAACGCAACGAATAATGTATCGACAAATATGTGTGTTTGCAGGAGAGCCAGCCGGTGCAGAACACCACCACCGAAAGCACCGCCTAACCGAGACAGAGTAACGCGCTATTACCGCAGGACACTCCTTTTTAACATATAACACCAACACCCGTTATACACTGCAGCATCGACAACAGCTATAATTGCAAAAAAAATCCAAAAAAAAGAAAAAAAATTAACAAAAAAAAGAAATCAACAAACACTACTCCACACTCTCTCCACGAAAGCAAATTAAAATTAAGATACGTATGAAAATTGAGAAGCGTTCAGCTGTGCTTGATGAGTTCTTTTTTTTCTTAGCGAGATAACATAGTTCCATCCCTGATATATCTAGGCTCTCGACTTAAGTTGTTTCGCTGAAAGGACTCGTTAGGGATGGCCGCATGCTTCTCCCTACGGGAATTTGGACAGAAGGGTAAAGCAATTACGGAGTACGGATGAATTCGAGCGCGGCAAGAGATAAATATCTATATATATATATATTTTGTTTTTGTTTTTTGTGTATTTCTTGTTTCGTACATTACTTCTAATTTTTCTCCGGTAAGGCGCATTATAAAATCGTTTCATATATACGATATTTGAGTTTATTGCTACATTTCCGCGAACTTCACTTTTGGCGACTTTACCATCATCAAAAGGAGTAGTGAGAAACCGATACGTGGATATTGTTGATAATAATAAACGAGTCCCAACTCGAATGAATTTGCCTGTCTCGAAGTCAATCGTTCATTTTCGGCTTATATTTCGAAATTAATGAGCTTACCGTATTGCTTTCACTCTTTTAGTAAGAAAAAAATTGGAGTCGCCGTTGGCCACAGCCATTATCCTTGAGTGTTTCGAAATTATACTGTTAATTGCAATTGTGATTGCGATGATCAACGAGCATTGAATAAATGCAGTAGAATTTTGATACTCTTGTCGGATGACAATGCAGCCGTGTGACAACCAATTTTTTCTTATTTATACTTTACAGGCGATCACAAGCATAAACGATTATTGTAATAGCATTTATCTTGGCCATATTTTTACAATTGTTAATATTGGCCCCTGGTGGGTCTCCGGCGGTATATTATTAATTAGCGATTATTGTTTTGACTTTATGCATTATTGATTAGTCGTGGAATTTGGGCGCGAAAACTCGTGAGGTGTCACGTCGCGAGTCTTCCCGGGCTGCGAGCGGCGCGCGGAGGCACACTTGAAACTTGTGGTCCCGTTCGTTTTCTTTTTTTGTTCTTGTCGACGACGACGACAATGCGTATATACTTGTATCCTATCATTCGTGTTATCGGGCCTAAAGGTACTTCGGGTCGGCCGCAAAGCAGAGAGAGGACGGCTCCACCTCGTGAAACCTCACAGACTTCCGCGCGTGAGTAAATCGTCCGGTCGTTTCTGGAATTGACGTCGGTCGAACATGCACCGGGCAGATCGTTTTTTTTTTTAATATATTAAATCACTGACCCGCTCGCATGCGGCAATCGACTCGATTTGACTTTGCGGAACAAGAGCCGGGCGTATCACATACATCGGCTCGACTGACAATACGATTCCCCGTAGACTGTCATGAGAGTACGAAGAAAGGGAAAACGCGAAGAAAAGTGTGTGTGAGAGAGAGAGAGAGAGAGAGAAAACAAACTTTATATAATTTTGCATGAAACTAATTTTTAAAATTTTAGTTTGTAGTATCGTCGACGGATAATAAAATAAAATATATGTCTACTTTCTTTAAAAAAAAAATGAAAAAGAAAATTGAAGTATTTCTTTTTTTAAAACTTATTTGGCCAAACTTTATTGATTTTTGATTTTCCGTCTATATCCAGGCGACACAAACGAGAGATCGACACAACATCACGAAGATCCATTAAAGAAAAAAGAGAGAAAGACATCCTAATCTTTCACATGTCTTCGTGTCGTTTGGGTGTAGCGTTTACCCATGGTGTTCATTGTTTCCGTCGTCGTGTATTCTGTGCTCGTCAACCAGTGATGCGCAAAATGTATTCGCGAATGAAGCGCGATTTCAGATAACACGCGCGCGTGCAAATCGTGCACCCGGCGCGTATAGTCGCGAAATACGTAACGGAAACGCATATTCGCGTTTCATCTCGCGAGAGGGACGTACGCGGGGCGTGGAGGATTTTATGCACGCGCTACGTGGGCGTCGCTACTCTGATATGCATATTCAAAATCGTCGCCTCGCGAATACAGTTTGTTCCCAACTTGCCACCACTGACACACGCGGTAGTCTGTACCCTCTGTCCGGGTACCGACCAGGGAGGATTCCGCCCAAGATATTACCGTATAACATATATATCACCCACGATGATCGTCTTTAATTGTGTCTCACTGTCCTACCACGTCCCGTTTGTGAACGTAGCGTTTGAACCACGCCACGAGAAAAAAAAAACCCGAGTGTGTCGAGTCTTCGTAAAATTGCATAATATCTTTTTGTTTGTGTAAAAACGAAATATCTGAAGAGATCGAGAGGTTCTGAGTACCTTCCGAGGTATACCAAACATCCGATTTGGTCAGGGTTAGCGATTTAAGGGAATAATAAGAAGAAGAGTAAGAAAGGAGAGAAAGAGAGAGTGTGTGCGTGAGTGTGGTGCCAAGTGGAGAGAGATAAAACACGCGGTTACGTTACGGCGGACGCGCGCGCGTTTATATATAATATTATATTAGGTATATATTTGCAGCAACTTTTACAATCGAATAACGAAATGAAAGTGAAATAAGCGATCGAACGCCGATCGCCGATACCGAAGTCGTCGCCGTGATTTTTCCCCCCCCCCTTTTTTTCTCCGTCATTCGACTTTGTAAGAGAGAAGAACCCAGCGGACACGAGATGCTATCGATCGGCGCGTCACCCCGCGCGTTTTCCGCTTTTCTATTACACCGCAATCCGCGTCCGTTGGGACAAAAGCCCGTGGCGACTCTTCGGGCCGCGTTGTTTAACGTAATCACCCTCCGTTGTCTAACGTAACCGCGTGTTCCCACGAAAAAAACACGGTAGAAAGAAATATAAAAAAAAGAAAAAAAGAAATCCAAGAGAGACGGCCTCTCGAGACGGCGGAAGAGAAAGAGAGGAGAAGGAGAGAGCGAGGGAGAGAGAGAGAGAGAGGCGCGGAACAAGCAAAAATTTCAAGCGGCGCGCCGAAGCGGGCGTGCGATTGTAACTGCAAAAAAAGAACAATGCATGTGTTAACAGTGAATATCAGAGTTAAAACGAAAAAAAAAAGAAACCAAAGCCGTGAGGACAAAACCGAAAGAAAACGAATCACGAGCGAATCCAGCAGCTAAACTTCACACGCGGTTAAAAAAAAAACCGGAAGAAAAAGAAAACCGGGAAAGAGAGAAAAAAAATCCGGGGTGTAGTAACCGAGAAAATCAGTTTGTGTACTCCGTCGTTCGGATTTATATCGCCGTCATCGAGACATCTCGACGGCGGCCGTCAGTCAATCGCGATCGCGTACGTGTTCGTTGCGAGAAAGTTGAAGGACGGCTTACGATCGGGCGACGCGGAAAGTTCGCGGGGCGAGGAGAAGTTCGATCCGCGGCGTCGCGTCGCGGCGCGCGGTCCATTAGCCGCGCCGAGCATTCACGGGAAATTCCGCGCGTTCGGGAAAGCGGAAGGGAGATCCTCCCATGAGTCGCCGCCGGTGCTTCGTATGTTAAACGTCTTTCGCGGTCGGAAAGCGAACGTTGCATCCCTTCCGTATAGAAATTCTTTTAACATACGAAGCGTTACAATCGCGCGCGCGCGATTGTTTCTCCGCGAACGTGTCTGCGGATTTAACGGCCGGTGCCGCGTTTGCAAGATTTCGTGATTTGTCATCGATTTGCTTTTCGATTCTCGTCGTCGCGAGGGAGACGAAGACTCGAGTCGCCGCCGGTTTAAGAGGGCGAACGAAAAATTCGGAGAGCCGGAGATTCTTCGGGAACGAAGGAGGAGCCCGTGATCGCGCGCGATCCTTCTCGTTCGAAAGGTCCGTCGTGCATTCGCGTCGTGTCCACCGGGCAAAAACAATCGCAATAAAAAGGGGTATCACGTCGCGACAGTCAATTAGATCCGATTCGAGTTTCACGCGAATAAAGGCGACACTCAAGTTTTATATATATATATATATATATATATATATATATAACGTGAGAGAAAGAGAGAGAGAGAGTGATGTGGACGAGAAGCGAAAGAGAAGAGCAGGAGAAAAAGAAGCGAAATCCCGATCGAGGAGACGTTCAACTCTTTCGAGAGATAAAGAAAAAAAAGAATAAATAAGAGAAAATCTATCAAAAGACCTCGACGGACGCCGGGCACGACGCCGTCGTTGACGTCGTCGTCGTCCGAGCGTGTCCCGAGATACAGTCGTCCGTCGACTGACCTTCCCCCCCCTTCCCCCCAATGAATTTTGTACCGAAACGTGAAACTCTAAATGCTAATTTCATACACGGAATTTAATTTTTTCACGAGAAACATGTGCATTATAAAAAATAAATCTACCAAAAAAATCGCAAAAGTTCACAAATCGAAAATGCGTTTTGTTTCATTCGATTCCCTCGTTTCGATCCCGATATTTCCTCATTATCTCGATTATCACTGTGTAAACAACACACGGAAAGCGCAAAAAAAAAATATATATATATATATTAACGAAAAATCTGCAATTTTATCGGAAATGTAATTGTGATTGGGTCGAGTGAAACGAGAATGCCGGTAAAAATGAAAATTTCAAGTTAAATTAATAGCGGAAGGTGTGCGTATGTGTGCATTGATAAATTTTATTCAATTATCCGTATCAATTTTGCCTTCATGAAATTCCGAGATTTACAGCGTACTTGAAATAAAATAGCGCGATATCCGCAGCCGTGAAATTACAGACGAAATATTGCGAATTCGCCCCATTGAATATGAATCAGATATTTAATCTTTAATTTCGCCGCGGAGGAATTTCTGAGGTAATGCAATTGACGAGTCCCCCGGCGGAATTGTACGTACGCATTTCACATATGTGTAATTTCACGCCGGCGATGTTGATCGGGAGCCCGGAGAGAAGTTATAGGTATAATGCATTCCCGTCATGGAGAATTTCCAATAATACCGGTATTACGGCGGCACTTAATCACCTTTCGCAAGGTATATAAATTAATTTTCCGTCCCCAGTATTAATCTCGTATAGCAACGATCAGCAGTAACCGTACCCGACACCATAATTGACACAACGGATTCGGCTTCGACATTACAGATTCGTCATTATGAATTATAAATTATCCGCGCGCGCCGAGCGACGTTCGTACCTACATACTCGACAATTACGTTTCTGAATTCTGTATTTGTCTCTGCAGCGTGAAATGCGTTATCTGCGCGAATTTTTCTACGCGCAGGGGGAAATATCTTTTTTTTTACTTCGAAACGCTATTACAATTTTAAAGTGCTTTATAAAATATTAATAATATACGTACGTACATTTATTGTCGTTGAAGAATTAAATATTGGAAACAAGGTGTTATATTTTGAAACGATATTCTCGCGATATTTCATATATGTATATACGATCGTGGAAATAGCTCGAGAAATACGCTGAAGTACTTGTCGTATTTTCGACGCAATGCACGGTGCACTCTCGAAAATAACGGCATGTTGTAGAACGACCATGGCGATTGTCACGAACAGAAGAAAAAGGTTAACGCGTTGTGTCGGATTTGAGTCCTTTAATCCGGATATATAATATATGCAATACGTGAGCACGCAACCGCTATATACATCCGGCAGTCTGTATATGCATTTTTGCCGCATGCGATGATAAAAATACACGGTCTATCACGCGAGAGAGAGTCGAAAGCCGAAAGAAAAACTATTTTGAAACTAAACTATTTTTTTATTTTTTTCTATTATTTCCCCTTGTTTTTTTTTAGAAAAAAAAAACAGAGAAAGACAGAGGGATTTAAAAATATTACGTTCCAAATACTGCAATTAAAAAAAAAGTGGAACGGAGAATGAAAGATGCTCCACTTTATTATTTCGCTGTAAATAATTCTTGGCGCTCGCCGGCGAGAGAGAGTCTCTATCGTAAATACTTCCTCCACGTAGTTGTTAAACGAGACGACGGGATTTCTTTAACGTTAAGATTGGCAGAATTCCATGCTTTTCGCGATCGACCGAACGAGAGGAAGATGTAGGAGCAAAAAGCCGTACGACTTATCAGAAACTCCCCGACCGTATGTTTTCGCAGATAGAGATACGATACACCGTGCAAACGTGCACACACATACACACACACACACTCGCTCACTCATACATACACACGGAAGTACACACAGCGAAGGCAATCAGGAGAGATCTCGGATGAACCAATTGATTGCCTGCGCTGTGTGCAGGCGAAATTAAAAAAGTTGGCTTCCAGGTCGACGCCTCGGTAAACGCCTCGGCCGCTAATTTCCCGATACCGAACATCTACTCGCGCAGCCGTTTCACGCTCGCAATATCAATTATCGCTATCTGTTCCCGTGTCCGTGTGCCGATAATCGTCGCGGATACAAGAGGGCCCCCGCGAAGTGCGCGCCGCGGTGCGTATGTATATGTGCGGCGGGTAATAACGCGTGCAAATTGTACGACGTTATGCGGGCGACGTGACATCGTTCGCGCGCGCGGCGCGGGCGCGGAATCCCTTCATTCTATATCCCTCCTCCCGCGGGAGGTTTTTATTACATTGCTTGGCGATTTTATAAAGGCAATAAAGATAACGTTCCTCTCCCTCTCTCGCGTCAAGTTCGATCCAAATCGCCGTAACCTGAGAAAGCGCTGCCGCGGAAAATTTCAAGTGTGCACGATGGGCTTTTAAATTATCATTCAACTCGAAAGAGTATTATTCATTAATTAGAATATTATTCATTAATGTTATACAAATTAATGAATATTATTCATTAATTAGAATATTATTCATTAATGAGTTTTACAAAGGTATAGATAAAAAGAGTATTGCTCAAATCTTATACTGATTAAACGCTTCCAGCATTGTTTCATCTCAGTCTCTTTAAGTAAACCAATCAACGATAAAGCCGTCGTAGGAGAAAGCACATGAATTTATTATATATTTGAAAACATGATAAACAATAATACATTTTCGTCTGAAACATGATACAGAATATTGGGCGGGTATACGTGTCTCAGCGTATCGCAGAGTGCGCCGGCCAAATTGGCCCGACCAACGTCCAACGTCCGTATGATCAAACGCGTTCCTCTTTTATTCGGAAGGACATCTTCGGGAATCGCCGCCGCCGCGGTCGACCCGCGTGGTTACAGGATCCGTTCAAGTCGGCTTCCTCCTCCGCTCTGCGCGGCGCTCTTCAAAGCGCCGCCGCCGCCGGTCGCCAAGTATTTCCGCAGTCAGCCAGACAGGAGCTTAAAGCAATTTCGGCCAGGTGTGTGCCCCGATGCGGTGGACCGGCGACTTGGTGAAATCTCTTCAGGGCGTCGCAGAGCGTCCCGATCGCCTCGTCGACCCTCTCGTCCTCCATGTCGGCCAATCCACGGTCGTAGAGAGCCTCGCACTCCCGCAGGCGCGCAAGCCGATCCTCCAAGCAGATTTTCTTTTGACAGCCCGAGCATTTTATCGGCTTACCCTGCCGGGCTCGCGAGTGCAGTCCGCCGCATCCCGTCGTAGGACACCTCGGGGAGGAAAAACGTCAAAAGGATATCTCGCGGATTTTCTCTCGTCGCGAAGATTTTATTACGGTATCGATAAAAATCAAGTTATCGAAATCAAATCGAATTATAATTTACATCGGAAGCTTTGAGGTATATATTTTTCGTTTCGTAATTAAGCTCTATATACTGCAAAATTCCCCTATTAGAAATGGTATTTTAAGACGCTAAAAAATGTCACGTAAATTATAATAGTCTTTATTATAATCTTTGACTTGCAGAAGAATTCCAAAATCACAATCCTTTTAATAATAATAATTTGGAATCAATGTTTTCCTTCTCAAGTAACGAAATTATCTTTGATCGTAATTTTTTCATCTCTTATATCATTTATGTACATTTAATAAAGTAACAAGAAATTAGAACATTGTTGAAGCAAACTCCGTTCGAGATTATCTGGGGAACGTGGCTTTGTTATCCATACGGCTTGCTAATACGAATGTAATTACAGATATAGCTACGTCAGAAAAAAAATTGCGAGATGTAAAGATGCTTCAGTCGGTATTAAATCGTTCCCTCCAAAGGAAGAACCCCTCGGAAACGTCGACGGAGACGCGCACTTAAAAGAATTACATTTGCGTTAGCGTGATGATGAAATAATTACTCGTAATTGAACTTTTGTCCGACGTTCTCAAAGAGGACCCCCTGTGGTTTATTTCTCCGAGAGAGAAATACCGTCGGGCGGTGCCGCGCGCGCGCGCGCGCGCGCCGTTGTGACGTAAAAGACGCAACGTAACGAGTAGTGGTGCTACTACCCAGAAAATTACCGCAGAACTGATAAAAGCACCTGGCCGTGTCGTTGGAGTTGGTATAAGAATCTTACGACGACGAACAGAAGTACCTTTGACGACAGGAGCATCCTTACGGTACAGGCGCTTCTTCCCTTTGAGGAACTCGCCTCATCAGGACTTGCGGTTTTTAACGATCTCGAAAAACATCTGCTAAGTCTCTCTCACTCTCTCTATTCTCCCCCTCCTCTTCTCCCCCCCTCCTCCCCTCGCCCTCTCTTTCACGCATTCACTCTCTCCCTTTCTGGTCGCTTGTTATTCCTTCCGCGCGATATTCTTGCGCTCTTTTACTCGTTACCCGCGGTTTACCAACATCCCTCGATTCTTTCCGCGACATTCAAGCCGGGAAGGAGGAGAAGAGGGAAGATTCTCGATTAAACGACGCGAAAGAAACCGTTAATTGTCTTAATTAAAACGTGCGCCGCAACACGAAGCGCGGACATTTCTAAAACGTTAATGAATAACTTTTCGCATTACTTCCGACAGACATTACCTCGCTAATCTGTCGACATAGAGACAGATTCAGCCCGGGAGGGGGAGATGGAGAGGAGAGAGAGAGAGAGAGAGAGAGCGGAGGAGAACTTAAGCGGGCGGTATCGATACAATTGTTCGTTTAATTAAATTAAATTACTTCGTTAATGAGCTTGATCTCGGAGAATTTAAATGGACTTACCTCAACCTGACGGAATCGTTCGTCAGATTCTCAAAGCGCGGCCAATCCTCCTCGCAGGCTTTGCACGTACATCGGAACCAATACCTGCCCGCCAGTGTCCTTTGACGCTCGGCGAGGGTCCTCTTCGTGAATATCGGTCCGTAGTTTTCGGCAATAACGTCGCCGGGCCGCAGACCGCGTACCGCCCTTATTACGATATGTCGGCCGACGAAGTATCTGCGATCCCGACAGAAGGAGGATTATTCTAATAATCCTGTTAATTAACGCGCGTCGTAACGAAAATTAACACACGCGTCCGTCGGAAGTGTAATCGGAAGTACAGGTACAAATCTTCTGCTTCGGTATTTACATGATAGCTATACGTCAATTAATTGCAACTAAAAGACTATATCTAATATAGATGGCGTTAATAAATTAAAAGTACTAAATTCGCGTAGTAAATTAAATTATTCCTTTTCCGAGGGATGTCAAATATTTGTAAAAAAAAACAAAATTGTAAAAAATGTATATTCCCCGACACTAAATATTTTATATTTTTTGTTTAATATATACCTGTACATTTTGCATTTTTTTCTGTATAAAAGCGCGGCGCAGGTTCCCGTTTCATTATTTAGATATTTTACCTCAATCAAATGCACGATGATGACAAACGTGTCCAAATATTAAAGCGTTAAAAGTCGTTAACCAGTCCGTATACGAAACGGAAGTTATTATCAAGTGTACGAGATAATAAATCGAAAAATGGGGAAGGAGGGGGGGTGTGACGCAATCACTTTGCAATGAAATAATAATCGTAATCATCACAATGGCCCCTCGACGACGTTAATAACGTGAACAGTAACAATTTCCGCTCGCGTACCGAGAGTAGCGCAGACGAGTTTGTGACATTACGGAATAATGAGCGCGCCCGGTGTAATTTCGCGTATAATGGCCGCGACCCACGAAGTCATCACAGACGCGCTTTAGTGCTGCCCGAAAATCCACGTACTTAATTAGCGTTAATAGATTCGCAGTAGAGAGAAGCATCGATATATTCCCCCAGAGGAAAACTTAATTCTCCGATTGCATTGTACACCTTTTAAATGATTCGGCGCGCTAAATAATTTATTTCGAAACGAACAATCGTCCCTCTCTTGAGTATCGTTAAAATGATTTATTTAAAAGAATCGAATTCGCATGGATTATTTCGTTTCTCCGTCGATTTAGCCGGGTCTCTTGGAGGAGCCCGCGGAGCGATCTCGCGGGCGCAAGATAAGAGCCTCGGATCTTTACGCATGTAAATTCGACGAGAGAGCGAGAGAATTTATTTTGACGGAAAGACAATGGGAGTTTTCCGGCGACAAAACGCGGGAAGTTGTTGAAGGGCCCCGGGAGAAACTTCGCTTAACAGACTGCGGGCGGTCGCGGGTCGATTAATAATTCGCGCGCGATGACACAGGCGATTGTGTACCGTCTGGTTATACTAATTACCTCTCACGCCGGGTCTCTACGTCTACGGTCTCTACTCTTTAACGTCGCGACGTTATTAATATGCAAATCAGGACGAGTCATGCGCACTTCGCGAAGTTCGACGAGGTCGCGCGCGGAATGTGTATAAAAGTTGGACGCTTTCTTGAGAAGGAGCGTGTCTTTTCTCACAGGAAGATATCCATCTTTGACGATGAGAGAGCAACGACGAACCGATCGCTCGCGACGATTGCGTTAAGGCTTACCTCTCTTTGCAAGAAGCTTGATTCCCCCCCCCCCCACAAAGAGAAAGAGAGAAATGTATCTTGCCGAAGAATGTGTTTGTCTTTCCCAATGCTCACCTCGTCACCGCGGGATAGCAGTCGTGATTGAAACGGGCGACCGTGGGATAAATCGCCACGCCGAGGTAGACCGGTCGGCTGCCACGAAATCGATGCTCCGCGCTCATTCGCGTCTCGAAGAACTCGTGGGCGTTGAATTGGAGCAGCTGCAGGTTCCTCAGCAGCAGGGCGGCCACGGTGATCTCCTCGACTCCCGGGACTTCTGCGAACTCGCCAAAGTTTCCGATATTAGTGTAGCCTCTTCCCTTCCCCCTCCCCCCTCCCCCTGTCCCCTCCGCGTTCTGTGCATTCCTCTATTCTCTTTTCTCCCCCTATTCTTAGCTTCCCGGCAAAAACTTTCCGCGACTCTTTCCGCTGAACGCTGTTAAAATTACGGTTTTACGGCGCGAGCGGACGGACGCCGCCGCGCGCCGCGCCGCGCCGCGCGGAGAATCTGCTGAATCAAAAGTTCACCCTCCGCGCGAGCAAGCACATTTTTTCCCACCCCCTTCTCTCTCTCTCTCTCTCTCTCTCTCTCTCTTTCTCTCAATTATACTCCGGTAAATTATCCCGAAAGTTAAATACAGCCCTCGCGAGAAGGAGTCGGCGTTACGTTACGGTAAAGTGGCCGACGATAAGTACCGTCGTCCGGCGTGGGACGCGCGAAAAAGCCGACCCTCTGCAGGCACTTGAGCAGGAAGGCCGCCATCAGCGATCTCTCCAGGAAGTCTTTGCTCGTCCGTCTGTCCGCGTGCGTCACCAAGTTGTACGGTGCCACGTCGACGCGCTCGTCGTCGACCCCCCCGCGACGCTCCTTTGTGCCCTTCTCCGCCGTCGTCTCGATAATTTCCTCGCCCCGTCTGGATTCCTTGAGTTTCCTCCGTCTGATTCTTCTCTTGGCCGACTTGCTGCACGCCGGCGATTTCATGCCGTGCGTATCCGGCGTCGCCGTCGTCGTCGTCGTCGTCGTCGTCGTCGTCGTAGCAGACGCAGCCGAAGACGTCGCGATCCTTTCCACGTCGCTCTTCTTTAACTCCTCGTAGATCTTCAAACACTTCCGCGGGCCCTCCTGCGTCACCATCCGAAGAGCGACCATGCTAAGCACGCTCATGCCCGAGCCTGAGGGGAGGAATTTAAGAGCGGCTTGTAATTACCCTATAAGAGGGCCTTGGCCCGCGTAGGGCGCTCGAGATAATGCGCCAGGCGGCGCGTGTGTAAAGCGCTGTTTCTACTTTAGCGAGAAAAATGTACCTCGACGAATACGATGGAGTTTATTATTTCGCTAATTATCACATCGCGAAGGCCATTAACTGCCGTGCCAAATGCGTTTGATATACGTACACGTTGGGATAATCTTTGTAAGAAATTTACATACAGTATTATTTTAGGGAAAGAATATCGAGGCGTAAATTACATTTTTTTATAGATATATTGAAAAGAAATTTTCGGTGAATCTTTTTTGGTAGACTTTATTTTTCAGATGGTTTTTTATGAAAAATATCATCACTAATCTTCTTAAAATCGCAAACGTCGCAACGTCGCGAGAACTTGCGGCAGAAGTTTAAATCCGTTTAAGTGTAGGCAGAGACAGGAAAGCTAAAATTACGTCACTGTTATCACAATGTCCGCTGAAACTACATCTGTTATCAAACGCTGTTTACATTATACCATGCACCGTTCATTCATGCCCTTACCTATCAGCAACGCCAGGACTTTGCACTCGTACTTGTGATACGTCGCCATCGCGGTATCCCTGCATTTCTTTCCGCAAAAGGCGACGCAGCTGCAGCTCGGGCATCCGACCGGTGCTCCTAGTCTAAAAATTTCCCGGATATTCGGTAAATCGATCGAAAGGAGAACGGGGTTAGCCCAGAGAAAACGAATTATGTAAATTGACGAATAAAAACCGAGGGGAAACTATCGCCGTGCGGAGGCCGCGATTCAATCCAGGTAAATTTAGGTCGATCAACAATATCTCGAGTAATACGTTCCAAATATAACGAATTTTACAAAGTTGCTTTGTAAAACGTCGTGAATCTCGAAGTTAGTTTAGAATAAACGAATAAAATTTACATTTTAAACGACAAATTTACGAAAAATATTCAAACAACGTGACTTGAAAATTTACAAATAAGTTATTTCTTGATATGTTTAGATTTAAACTACTTTAGCGTGGCTATTCGCACTCAATGAAACAAGCTATTCGTTCGCGTTTGTTCGCACTCGCTCAGTCTGTAGCAATCCGACCTCGGATGTCGGCCTTTAAACATGCGTGCCGTTCTCAAATTTTTCGCGGCTCGGTCAGCGCAAGCGGCTTTTATCTTCGCGTAATAACGAGTTTTTCCCGTCCGCATACGTCGTTCGTCGCGCGCCTCCGTCCGGGCGTCGCTCGGGTTAATGAAATCCATTTTCTCTCTCTCGCCGTCGCGGGTTTATCCGTAAAAAGCTGTGGATAACGGGGACGGACGGAGGAGGAGAGGGCTTGCCGCGCACGTAGACAAAGCAGAAGCTACACACGGTGGATTACGTGTCGCCCAAGGCTCGTGTCCATTAAATCCAGGAGGGAAAGAGAGAGGAGAGGAAAGAGAGGACCCGGGTGAGAGAACCCGACGGCAATTTTCTCCTCACCTCGCGTAACAATGCTGACAATGGGTGCCGTAGAACTCGGGCAGGAGACAGCCCGCTAGCGGCGGCTCGACTAACAGAATATCGCCCGGATGTATTTCCGCGGTTGCGACGGCGTGTTTACCCGCCGTCGTGGTCTCACGGATTTCCAGGGCGCCGGACGACCAACGGAGCTCGGAATTAACGGCGCCATTTAACGGCGTGCCGCCGCCGCCGCCGTCGTCGTCGTCGTCACCACTGTTACCGCCGCTGCCTGCGAAGACGCAACACAGTGTTTTCTTAGGGTGAGTTTTGCCCTGACCAAGTTAATGGAACGGCAGGTGTATATATATATCGCGGAGATACGCGGATTCCCCGACAGTTGTTTGATCTCTATTAACGGATACACGGAGTATGTACCTACATACACGATATTTCAAAGACCGGCTCTTTAATAAACATAGAACGCGCTCGCGAAATGAGACAACAGGAGAAGGGCGGGAGGAGAGCGAGAGATCAAGGATTTTCGCGATACACGTCGAAGGTATACGTGTAAAAATACAACAACACATCACGATGTACATATTTAGCTTCGTCGGATATATACACGCTGTGCGCGCGGTACTCCGCGAACCAGCATCGAAAATCCGGGAGGAAAAGCGCGCGGCTTCGCTTTTTTTTCCCTCCTCTTTTTTTCGCCGCGGATTTTCCATACGAGGGGGCAAAACGAGAAAATAACCCTTCTCTAGTTCGCTCTTTCGCCTCCGAGCGTTTCGGATATCGTTCGGCGGTATACGCGGGCGCGCGCGCGCGCGTATGTATTCCCTTCGCACTCTCTATAGCGCGCATACACACGCGTTATCTCGAGGATACTCGACCGAGATACGCGCGTAGCGCGCTCTTTGTCCCGCGCCTCCGCGTCGATTTCCACCCGGCCCCGGCGGCGCGGTGTGTTGGATTGGCGGCGCGAAAAGTTTCGGCCACGTTCCGCCATTCATGAATGAACTGCCGGGCGAAGGTAAAAGGGGGGGAGGGGAGAGAGAGAGAGAGAGAGATCGTGTACTACGGCCTACTCTACGGGCCGTAGTACGCGCGCCGGCTGACGCGGCGGTTCATCGTGACGAGGCACGTGTGCGATAAGGAAGGATGACAGGAAAGAGAGAGAAAGAGAGAAAAAGAAAGGAGACAGAAAAAGAAGAAGAGTGAAGAAGTCGCGCGCGACAGCGCAGCGATCTTACCTCGGCCTTAGTCCCGCGATCGAGATCACGAGCTCCACCGAGATCGCCGATAACTCCGCGGGCAAAAGCCGCAATGATTCCGACCGAATCGCGTCGACAAGCTGGGGATCCTTACGCTTTCAGTGGAGGCGGAATCGTTTCGTTCGAACGTCCGAGACGATTGAATGTGATTGAGAAAAATCTGCGAGATATCGAATTGTTTATATTTTTTGTCGCAGTCGCTGTGATTTTTCTTTGAAATATATATTTACAAATCAATTTTTTAAAGGCGTACAAGTAATATATTTGTTAAGTGTATATATTTGGGTTAAAATTTAGAAAAAGATTTTTAACGATTGGATATCGAGCCAGGATTATCGTTAGAATTACAGGACTTCAATCGCGATAAATCGGAATTCCATTCGGCATCGTGCTGCGTGTCTCCGATAACGGAGCTCAATGAAGCGGGTCTTCGTTTTACAGTTAATCCGATTTACAGGCGGCCCCGCGGAAGTTCCGCCATGATTTAAGACTCCCGCAAGGGATCTCCGGGTTAACGAGAATGTGTAAACAAGCCGCAATCCCGCGCGAAACGCCATTTCCGGTTATCTCGGCCGCGACGCTCGCGTGTGGCATGCTGCCCACCGTGGGGTGTTCTAATGAATGGAAGAAATTGCTACGGTCCGAAGGGGGATGTGTACACACGACCAACCGATTAATCACGGTCCGTCTGGAAACGACGATATCGTGCGAAGCTCCGGCTTCGTCTGGTAAGTGCGTTTTAACCTTTAGTCCTCCCGCCCTCCTCTGCTCCTCGTCGAACGTATAGATAAAAGTTGAGAATTTTCCGATAAAAGCTAATGAATTTCGCGACAATGGAAAATCTATTAAAGTTTCTATTAAATAATCTATTAATTATCACGGCAACAATGAGTTTAATATATCTCGTAATACTACAATTTTTATGATTGTAACGTTAATTTCGAGAAGACCATAAGCGATCCTCTATCATATTCATTTCGATATTATAAAAACATTATCCGATTATGCTTTCCTTTCCTCACATTTTCACTCTCATCATTTGCACTCTCAAATATTTCGTCTTGCCGTCACGGACGTCACGGAATAATATCACCGACGAGTCGTATTCATTCGAATTTCATCCCCGCGACTTCGAAGTTTTTTTTTCCTCTTCTTCTCCCCCCCATTTTTACAGTTAACGAAACGTCGCGCCAGTCGTTGGTCGAAAAAAATATGCGGCGGGAATAATGCCTGCGGACGGGCACGGAGCGCGCGGCGTTAAAATTGCAGGATCCATTTACTAATTTACGATCCGGCGGGCCGATTACCGTGAAGAACGTACGGCGCACGATGAATGGAGAAAATATTCATTCGCGCACGCGCACAATTTTCACGTGGATAACGTGAATTTATATTGACTTGTATTCAGGAAGAATCTATGGTTTTAAATCATTTTAAGAATCTCCGTTGCGATCTCTTTTTGTTATTTTCAAATTAACAAACCGACAATCGTTCAACTGTGATAATATCATTTATTTGACTAATTCGTGAGGTCGCTACCTAATTAATATCCAAAAATATACGTACTGCACTGTCCAGAACACTTTATTAAATAATTTCATTCGTGAAAAAGACCGTTCTTTTCTTTTCGAGTTTATCTTGTTTTTTCTCATTAAGAGCGAAAAGTTTTAGGATTAAAGCGAAAGTTTTCGACTGCTTTTCTGTTAGCGAATTCTGAAAAATTAACGTTCCAGACCGGCGTCATCTCAGATAATGAAAAAATCATGTTATACGAATTGAGGATTAATCGAAGGGAGCGGCACTGCGATGAGGAGAGCGCGATGAGTTATAATGTGATTAAGACATAAATAATAAATATAATTAGTTTCTTTTTAGAAGGAAGAATGATTAATTATTGATGGAAAATAAATTACTAGCGGGAACGAGTCAAATCCCGCTGGCAGGATCGAGTTTAAGGAAGATGTTCGGAAAAAATAAACGCGTAGAAAATTGACTCTTAAAAAATTCTTACAAAAAATTGGCTACGACGTCACGAAAGTTTATTCACTCAGGCCGATATATTACGAACTCTCCGCGATGCGCTCGCGTAGCCGGTTTTCAAAAAATTAGACGAGTGCATTTGCGGCAAACGACGCTGATACTTCGAACGCTCTTCTAATTTGATTGGGCCGTAGTCAGGCTCGTGAGTGGTTACAGACTCATGCGGGCGGGGCGGGCCGAAGTAAATGAAGTTTAGCTACGAACGGCCGCACCTGCACCGGCGAACCCTTCGAATCGCGCGTTTCCGGCTTAAGCCACGAGCCCTCGAGGGGCGCTTTGCGGTGCTAGAATTCCACGTTCGAAAACAAAGAAGCGCTTGTCTCTGTTTGAGCGCGCGAAACGGTCCGGACTGGCTCAGCCGGGGGATGCTCTTAACGATCAATTAGTCGGGCGTAGCCTCGGCTCGCATTCAGGCTTTAGACAAGCACGAAATAATGCCTCTCTATATACATATATATATATATATATATATATATATATATTATTGGAATCATGCATCTCGAGATAGTTTATCTTTTTTTGCAATTATCTGAAATATAGAAGCAAGATTCACGCGTCTCAGATTCTATTAGAATGCAAGGAAATTTGCTAAGTTAAAAAAAAAATTATCTCATCAGAGGATTCTTTTATCAGAATTTCATTCAATTTCAAATATGCATATTGGAAGATTCCAATCCCTCGACCATTCCCGAGATTTTGCTCCGTGAGAAAAGAGTCCACGCCGAAAATCAAGTATTCCGCCATTAAAATTAAGGGCGCTTGGAGTATTCCTATGTGCCGTGTACGTGCGGCGAATAAGAAAGACGGACGTAACTGCGAGAGAATTTATTAATTAATATAAAGCTAATTACTGAAGTTGATGCACGCAAAGTTACTGTTCTGAGACGGAACTTTTCCCCGGTCGAGAAAAGACTTTCAATTTATTCCCACCGCTTAGCGTTAACGGCTCGGCGAATCGGGAAGATTTTCTAAAAAGTTTAGGGAGATAAATGAATCCAATCTGATGAGTATTAAGAGAGCGGTATGGAAAAGAGAAAGATGGAGAGAGTGGAAGAGTAATATATCGCCGTGATGCGACCAGACGACCGGTGGATGCTCTCTGCCACGATGCGTCTTTTAATTTAATTCTTAGTCCACGAAGCAAACAAAGTTTTGCCACTTCCTGAGAAATTCCAGGCATCTCATCTCCGCGAGTCGAGTTGTTTTATTCGTTCACCTGCGTATATATACGAGAGAGAGAGAGAGAGAGAGAGAGAGAGAGAGAGAAAGGGGAGAGGGAGAGGAAGCATTATTCTGAAAAGCGTAGCTGAGAATATCCGCTCGCCGCCATTACTACAAAATAAAATTGAAAAATAGTTATTTTTTTTGCCTATCAGTGCTTTTAAAGCGTCCGTCAGTGATGCATAAGCGGCATTTATACGAATAAAATATGCAGTCGAGAGCGCGCGCAATCAATCCTGCGCTGCCGGTCCATCATCCCCCGGTCTCCACGATGATCGGCGTTACTCGCCATTAATCACAGTTATCGGCGAGAGATCAAAATTTCATATTTTTTAATTCCGATCGATTGATCGCTAATTGCCAGCGCTGCGATACGGCCACTCGCGTAAATAAATCGGGGGCCGGACCGTTTCCGACGCTAAATACGGTACCATCGCTAAATATTCGCGCAGTTATTTTATTACCCTCCGATAAAGCGCCCCGAATAAAAATCTAATTAAACTCAGCGCGCCCGGAGTGCTTTTATCCGGAATTCGATAATCGTATCTCTCGCATCATGAAACGTTCGTGAAATAACGGCGAGTATGTTTCGTGCCTTTTGGATACGTTACGTGGCGAATCGCAAATCGGCATCAAACGCTCCGAGGGCGAATCTAGATCAGCGCTGTCAGACACACAGATGTATCTTCCTGTACGACAGTACGTTTAAAATTAGCTGCGAATAAGGATTTTCAATAA